CCCAAGATGATAATAACCAGGTAAGTAGGGCTCAGCCTTTGAAAAAAACTAGGTAGGATGGATCTACCTTGAAACCTGCTCCTGGAAGACTTTTTCTCTTCCCAAGTGCTTCCTCACCCCAGTCTTTACACAACAACAATTTCCTTTAAGTAAGAGGTCTAATTAAACTCTGTGGGTTCCATAGGCACAGATATTGCTTGGAAAAGGATAGCAAATCCTAAATCAGAGAGTATATTTGTAAATCTAAATTTGTTTTCCTCAAACTAGAAGTCAAGACAAGCAGCAGTAAAAGTACACTTCATGATGGATTTTAGTCCACAGGATGGGGGAGAAATTCATGAGGGGGAGTAATTTTCCTTACATCTTATGACTGGGTTTGCACAACAAAACACCCTATCTTGGGTGGGAAATCACAGTACTGTGCAAAGCCAGACTGCTTCCCAGCATATACATATACATATGTATATGTTCCTGTGAGGAAAAAAGGATTGCCTTGTCAAAAAGTCTATTTTAAATTATAATAGGTATTATAATATCTATGTTAAAGGTAAAAGGAGTCCTTTAACAGCTGGTTGACATTTTCCCACCTTACTGAGCATCTAGAGTCTCAAGGAAAGTGTGAAAAAGATGCAGAACTGTGAAAAGAGTCAGTCCGCCTGAAGAAAGTAGAAGTTCTCACCATGAATAGGGTGATCTATCCACCACCCCTTTTCATGAGCAAAGATCATTATGGATTTGCCTTCCCTTGACAACTTGCTTTTTGCCAGCTTTTGGGAAAAGCAGAATAAAAAAATTAACAGCCTCCTTTCAGCCTTGCTGGACCATGTGCCATTATAGGTCCCTGCTATACTTCACAGACATCCCCCAGCTGAGGCTGCCCAGTTCAGAACCACAAAAGCGCATACTCATGTAAGCTAATTACATTTGTGCATATTCAGGGTGCCAAAACATGGTAAGCCAGTGACAGTCCCTCCAAGTGCTTGGGCGCTTCAGAGGGGCTCTCAGACTATGAAAAGTGATCTCTGAAAAGGTAAATGGGGGAAAGAAGATAGTGAAAAAAGGCTTGTGATCTCAGGAAAGAAAAGTCTCTTCCAGTATTAGCTGGGGGACTGATTGGAGAGAGGGGCAAATAGCCCACAGTGAGTATGATCATCTGTCAGGTGCACCATGATTGTTTCCTGGACAATGCTGTTTCACCCTGCATAGCTTAGTAGACTGGTGTGGCATGAAAACTGTATCCTTAAGTTAAAATGTCCGGGGACATAATGGGTCTGAATTGGCTTAAATGACAGTATTCAGATAGCTACTCAGACCTATCAAGGGCACCCTTAGCTTATTGCTGGGAAAGCCAGAGGACTTATGGTACAGGAGACAAGGTACTGGAGAGTGACTGCTGGCAGCCTTGCATCAAGACACGGGACCTTCTGTCCACAGCACCAAGAAAGTTAAAGTCTTTCTCGATTTTATTGTGTGTTGGATTTCAGGCTTCTAGCTTGCCTTAGGATTGTGAAAACTAATATTTTTTAATCTTCCCTTTCCTCTAAGCAGTGTAGGGCAACTTCCATGACTCCCATTTGATCATTATAACAGCTGCATGATCAGACTCATAGTGAGCTTCACAGATTTGAGGGGGTTTTATCTAGATCTACCTACTTCATTCCAGTGGTCTAAAGACCTAACCAGATTGCTATATTTAAACAGATTGCTTGAGAAAATCCTCAGTGCATTCAGCTGAGTATGCAGCCATGGTAAAGCAGGAAGCTGTGATAGCCCTGATGAAAACAATAAAAGGAAATGTTGTGATTTCCTTCTGTAGGTAATGCATGCCTCAGCTTCCCTTAAAAAGAGGCTTAAAAATATCAGGCTATCCAAAAGAGAATGGGGGAGCTGACAGAGTGTTTTGTGCATCTGTTTAAAGAACCAAAAGATGGCCAAATCTAAAAGACTGAGGAGTATCATTGAATACCAATGTTTGATCTAACAGTAATATATACGGTAAAAACACATCTAATTTTTATTTACACAGGTAATTATAGGCCACCTATAACTGCCAAGGCCTTCCTAATATGGGGTTTTGATTTATTTATTTGATTAATGTAATTTCTAAACTATGCCCAATAGCCGAAGCCCTCTGGGTGATTTACAACAGCACAACTTTGTTTCTAGTTGGAGGACTCTTTATACTGGGTACATCCAGACAAGGCTTCTATTTTGCCACTTCCCTGTCTCATGCAAGGAATCTGAGTGAGGGCAGGTGACATTTTCCATTAGCATCCTCTTCCCCTGGTTGGGTTGGATCCAGATAATGCCTATTGCAATCAATGGAAGTTAACTCATTCCTAACTTTTTACACTGATTTCAGTGGAATGAACTGCAAATAAGTTAGGATGAATTCTTAAGCACATAAGAAAGGCCAACTGAATATTGGAGACTTACTTCTGAGAAAGCATATATAGGATTGCACTGTATGAGTTGAATCCAGTCCATGGTATTTTTAGACTACTTCCTTTAGTAGCATTTAATGAGATAATGGTAAGATTCTAGCTAGGAAAGGTCAACATCAATTTTACATGTGGCAAAACAGGACAGTGCTTCTTAATGCTTTTCCCCACTGTTCCCCAAGACAAGCACAACTCAGCCTGATGACCCAAAACCTGGAATGAGATGTTCATTTCTCTTCCATTTTTCCTCCCTGTATTTCAAATAAGATCTTTAGTAACTGGTGGATAGAGTCCAGAAAAGAACATTTTTGCTAGTTTTTCTTATTCGAAAGCAAATTGTTGTTATGCTCTCTGGACTTCCCTGAGCAGAGACACATCAGGGGATTTCATATGTAATTTCCTTTAGATTACAGTATTGCAATTTATAATGTCTGTAATAGGAATACTTATTCAGTTTCGGCCTCCTTTTACTTTAGGGGCTTGCTTAAGGAATAAGAGCAGATGATCTAAGGCAGCCTGAGAAATGTAAGTTTGAGGAAATTGTCAGCTGTTAGAAAAAGATGGCTCGCCCATGAGTACTAGTCAGGGCTGCTGCTTATCCTCAAGGTTGCTTTTTCTTACCGTGGAACCAGTGAGTGGAGAAGTTTTCTAGACTAGACTGCTAATTTTCTGCTTTCTAATTTCCAATTTGGCTGCTTTTCATTTCATCACAGAATTGAGCTCCAAGTATTATATGAACATTTCCTTTTTTGCTTTTCTACTACATAACCTCTAGGTGGCACCATGGTGTTGCAAAATAGTGTAATTACACAAGTAGAAAAGGCATTTTCTTTTACTTTTAGAAATAATGAAGCATTTTCCTGATCTAAAAAAAGCAAAATGCCTTCTTCCGTATTTGCCCTCCTGCCCCCCTGAGATCGGCAGCAGAGGCCCTCCTCCAGGAACCCTCTGTGAAAGACATTAGGAGGCAAAGTACCCGGAGGAGGGCTTTCTCTGCGGTGGCACCCTGCCCATGGAATGCGCTCCCCAGAGAGGTCTGCCTGGCGCTGTCGTTATTTGTTTTTCGGTGCCAGGCTAAGACCTTTTTATTCCAACAATATTTTAATAACGTTTAATATTAGCTATATATGTTTTAATCTGTAGCCAGGGTGGATCTGGAATTTATTTGTATTATGTTTTATATTATTATTATTATTATTTATTTATGTAAGCTGTCCTGAGGCTTTGCGAAAGGACGGCATATAAATATTCTAAATAATTTTTAAAAAAAAACTCATAGGAAGTGCTGGTTAAACAACAGAAGTGAAATGTGGAAAGGATACACTATCATCTAATGAACTGTGAATAGTACAAGTGTATAATAAAAGCCTTGTATGGAGTGATCTGACAAAATAAGAACATCCATGTTACAGAATCTGGGAATGTATTACTTAAACTTAGTATACAGATGCGAGTATTTGTGGAATGTTGCTTTGGCTTGAAATGGAAAAACAAAGAATATTTCTCATGGTGTTACTAATAAAATGTATCATGCGCCACTAAACTTGTATCTGTGGCATGGGGAAATGGGGAATGTAGATAGACCTTAATTTGAAGGAATGTGGCATCAAGAATGATAACAGTAGAATTAAAAGATTTTAAAACTAAAGCAAAACATCAGTTGGTGTTTTAGGACTCCTAGAATATTTCAGATTTACACAACAGGCAATGATGTTTGTTGCAGATATTCTGCCACACTCACTGACTTTTTGCTCTTTTCTGTGTGCAACCTATGATTGTCTCATTCTTGAAAATTCTGCTGAAATGAAGAAAGTAGGAGTTATTACAGAAATGACTGGAAATAATACAACACTTTGTGTATAAGGATGCTTTTTTTTCTTTTTTGAGGGGGTGTTGTATTGTGTAGTACAGGAATTGAGAATGTAATTTGATGGAAAGAGCAGCTGATAAACAATTTTGCAGAATTGCTTAGGTGCCTTTCTGAATTGCACGGTTAGATGATTATGGGAGTTGTTGTAATTGCTTGATTGTATTAAAATGTAAATGTTTTTAATTGAAACCGGAAACAATGTAGTTTTATCTATCTACTGGGACTCAGACCAAGCATTTATTTTCAATCTTAGGGATCAGTTATAGGATATAAGAAGATAAGAAAGTACTCCAAAGGAGTACATTATCTCACCTTTGGCTAAGTCCAAAGTCCCCACATTCCATGGTCTGGAGGAAGGGGTTGCATGAACTGTTGCCATTTCTAGGAATGCTTCAGAACCAGCAGTTGTTTTGCTGGAATCAACTGAGCCATGAGACAAAGGCTAAACACAAGACCAGCCCTTTATAACACAGTGCTTATGAAATTAAAAGCAATAACAGATAAAATGGAAGTTCAGGGAAGTCAATGGGCCGATAGCAGCAAGATTCATTTTAAAAGAAGGTTGTAAGACTAACAATGCTTGTTAATGGTCAACTTGCTGTGTTAGCTAAAATGTCCTGATTAGTTGGGAGCCAACAGGAAAAGAAGGTGGTGGGGTAGGGGAACACAAACAGGAAGAGATGTTTCAGAACCCTTTTGAGACCAGAAGAGTAATATGCACTTTGTTGCTGGAGTGAACATTGGAAACCAGCAAGGCTGAGAAAGGTAGGTATATTCTCATGCTTTTGCTTTTACAATTTGCTTTAATTATGTGGCTCTTGATATTATGACATGCGCTGGGCAACTAAAATGCCTTTTTGCAGCATGACTGGTTTCAAGAAAAGTGAAAATAAGGGAATCATTCTGTAAAAAAGTAGCTGTGGTGTTGGGAGGAAAGATTGCAAATTTATGAAAAGCTTAATGTGCCCATTATAATACAGAAAGTTGCCTAAATTCCCCACAACTACTGCCATTTATGGAATATTAAATGTTAGTAAGTCCTATGTCTTCTCATCATTCTCTCTGGCTCTCTGTTGCATAAGAGCTGGTGTAGTGGAGAGATAGTCAGAATGAGCTGCACTGCATATATCAAGTTTGCAAATGGGGTCTTCTGGTGATGTGCAAGAGATGGTGGGTAGCTGTTGGAATGGAGAATGGTGGCAGCAAGAGACTCTTAACTGTTTCCTCTGTAACCCCTTCACAAGAAGGTAAGAAGGGCTGTGCTAGATCATACCAAGGATCTAGTCCAGCATTTTGGTTTCATAGTGGCCAACCACATGGCCATGGGAAGCCCATGAATAAGACATGAGCGCAGCAGAAACCCTCTGCTTGTGTTCCTCTGCAGCTGCCATGGAGAGCCATACTGCCTGAGATATTAATGGTAATATATGGCCTTTATGACTACTAGCCATTGACAATCTATCCTTTACAAATTTGTCTAATCCCCATTTAAAGCTGTCTAAGTTGGTGGCCAACTTCTTGTGCCAGTTTTCCCCAGTTAATGTTTTAACACCTGCGTTAGAGGAAAAAAAAGGCTAGCGAAAGTGCTGTATTAGAAAAATGGCGGTGGAAAAATGGGGAAGACTGCCAGGGCCCTTCTCTTCTGACTCTCCAGCAGTGAGTTTTACATATCAGCACTGAATTGTTCCTATGGACGAGGGCCATCTCTTTCTTGCCCTGTGTATCTTGACAGCAGCTTAATAGCTTTAGAACCATGTGTTGGATGTGGAATTGGGAGAGTGGGGTAGGGTGGATTGTAAGAGGGAACAGAACTTTGATTTCATATGGATCTTCAAGAAACCTCTTGCTCCTTTCATCTGATTTAGATTACCGTTTTATGAAGTCCTTATGATTTAATGGCCTCTGCTGATGTTCTTGTTCTGTACATATGCAATCTTGAGCAGCTGAAATATCTATTTACAGTTTGGGAGCTGTATTTTGTAACTGTATACAGTGTCATAGCATAATGTATCTTCACATTATATACCGTTTTCTAATTGGTTGTTTTCACGTGATATGCCTGATAATAACATCTCTTCCATTTTGGAAAGGAAACAGGTAGATGGAGATTTGCCAGGTTGCTCTAAGTGTTGCTGCATCCTCTCTGTCTTTATCATTACCACCTGCCCCCCTCCAAGGAACATATTTGGATTCAGAACATTCAGCTTATATGAGAATAAGTTGTTGTTGTTGTTAGTTGCGAAGTCGTGTCCAACCCATCACAACCCCATGGACAACATTCCTCCAGGCCTTCCTGTCCTCCACTATCCCCTGGAGTCCACTCAAGCTCACACCAACTGCTTCAGTGACTCCATCTAACCACCTCATTCTCTGCCATCCCCTTCTTCTTTTGCCATCTATTGTTCCCAGCATTAGACTCTTCTCCAGGGAGTCCTTCCTTCTCATTAGGTGGCCAAAGAATTTGAGTTTCATCTTCAGGATCTGGCCCTCTAAAGAGCAGTCAGGGTTGATCTCCTCTAGGACTGAGCGGTTTGATCGCCTTGCTGTCCAAGGAACTCGCAGGAGTCTCCTCCAGCACCACAATTCCAAGGCCTCAATTCTTCGGCACTCAGCCTTCCTTATGGTCCAGCTTTCACAACCATACATTGCAACTGGGAAAACCATAGCCTTGACTATACACACTTTCTTTGGCAGGGTGATGTCTCTGCTTTTTAGTATGCTCTCTAGATTTGCCATAGCTTTCTTCCCAAGGAGCAAGCGTCTTTTAATTACTTGGCTGCAGTCCCCATCTGCGGTGATCTTGGAGCCCAGGAAAATAAAATCTGTCACTACCTCCATTTCTTCCCCATCTATTTGCCAGGAAGTGAGAGGACTGGATGCCATAATCTTGGTTTTCTTAATGCTGAGTTTCAAGCCAACTTTTGCACTCTCCTCCTTCACCTGCATCAAGTGCCTGTTTAGTTCCTCTTCACTTTCTGCCATTAGAGTGGTATCATCTGCATATCTGAGGTTGTTGCTATTTCTCCCTGCAATCTTAATTCCAACTGGTGATTTATCTAGCCCTGCCTTTCTCATGATGGGCTCTGCATTTAAGTTAAATAGGCAGGGTGACAGTATAAAGCCTTGCCGAACTCCTTTCTCAATTTTGAACCAATCAGTGGTTCCCTGCCCAGTTCTCACTGTTGCTTCTTGACCCACATATAGGTTTCTTAAGAGACAAATAAGATGGTCAGGTACTCCCATCCCTTTAAGAACTTGCCACAATTGGTTGTGATCCGCACAATCAAAGGCTTTAGCATAGTCAATGAAGCAGAAGTAGATGTTTTTCTGGAACTCCCTAGCTTTCTCCATGATTCAGCATATGTTGGCAATTTGATCTCTAGTTCCTCTCCCTCTTCGAAATCCTGCCTGTACGTCTGTTAGTTCTCAGTCCACATACTGCTGGAGCGTAGCTTGTAGGCTTCTGAGCATAACTTTACTAGCATGTGAAATGAGTGCAATGGTGCGGTAGTTTGAACATTCCTAGGCATTGCCCTTCTTTGGGATGGGAATGTAAACTGACCTTTTCCAATCCTCCAGCCACTGTTGAGTTTTCCAAATTTGCTGGCATATTGAGTGTAGCAGTTTTACTGCATCGACTTTTAAGATTTTGAATAGCTCAGCTGGAATACTGCCACCTCCACTAGCTTTGTTGTTGTTCAGACTTCCTAAGGCCCTTTTGACTTCACATTTCAGGATGTGTGGCTCGAGGTCAGTGACCACCCCATTGTGGTTATCAGGGATGTTAAGCTCTTTCTTGTATAGTTCCTCTGTGTAATCTTGCCACCTCTTAATTTCTTCTGCCTCTGTTAGGTCCCTGCCATTTTGGTCCTTTATCATGCCCATCTTTGCATGAAATGTTCCCTTCATATCTCCAATTTTCTTGAAGAGATCTCTGGCCCTCCCTATTCTATTGTTTTCTTCTATTTCTTTGCACTGTTCATTTAAGAAAGCATTCTTATCTCTTCTAGCTATTCTCTGGAATTCTGCATTCAGTTGGGTGTATCTTTCCTTTTCTCCCTTGCCTTTCGCTTTCCTTCTTTCCTCAGCTATTTGTAAAGCCTCCTCAGAAAGCCATTTTGCTTTCTTGCATTTCTTTTCCTTTGGGATGGTTTTAGTTGCTACCTCTTGTACAATGTTGCAAACCTCCGCCCATAGTTCTTCAGTCTGTCTATCAGATCTATCACATCTGTCTATCAGATCTAACTCCTTAAATCTATTTGTCATCTCTATTGTATATTCATCAGGGATATGATTCAGGTCATACCTGATTGGCATAGTGCTTTTCCGTACTTTCTTCAATTTAAGCCTAAATTTTGCAACAAGAAGTTCATTATATGAGCCGCAGTCAGCTCCTGGTCTAATTTTTACTGACTGTATAGAGCTTCTCCATCTTTGGCTGCAGAGCACATAGTCAATCTGATTTCTTTGTTGACCATCTGGTGATGACCATGTGTAGAGTCGTCTGTTGGGTTGTTGGAAAGGAGTGTTTGCTATGATCATCATAGTCTCTTGACAAAATTCTACCATCCTGTGCCCTGCTTCATTTTGTACTCCAAGGCCAAACTTACCTGTTATTCCAGTTATCTTTTGGCTTCCTACTTTAGCATTCCAATCCCCCATGATGATAAGGACATCATTTTGGGGTGTTAATTCTAGAAGGTGTTGTAAGCCTTCACAGAACTGGTCAACTTCAGCCTCTTCAGCACCAGTGGTTGGGGCATAGACTTGGACTACAGTGATGTTGAATGGTTTGCCTTGGATTTGAACTGAGATCATTCTGTCATTTTGGGGATTGTATCCCAGTACTGCTTTTGCTACTCTTTTATTGACTATGAAGGCTACTCCATTTCTTCTGAGGATTCTTGCCCACAGTAGTATACCTGATGGTCATCTGAATTAAATTCACCCATTCCTGTCCATTTTAATTCACTGATTCCTAAGATGTCGATGTTCAGTCTTGTCATCTCTTGTTGGACCACGTCCAGCTTGCCTTGATTCATGGATCTTACATTCCAGGTTCCTATGGAGTATAGATCTTTGCAGCATCGAACTCTCCTTTCACCACCAGATACATCTGCAACTGAGTGTCCTTTTGGCTTTGACCCAGTCGCTTCATTCTTTGTGGTGCTAGTGGTACTAGCCCTCCGCTCTTCCCCAGTAGCATATTGGACACATTTCGATCTGAGAGTCTCATCTTCTGGCGTCATATCTTTTAGCCTTTTGGTACTGTCCATGGGGTTTCCATGGCAAAGATACTGGAGAGGGTTGCCATTTCCTTCTCCAGTGGATCACGTTTTGTCAGAGCTCTCTGCTATGACCTGTCTGTCTTGGGTGGCCCTGCACGGCATAGCTCATGGCTTCATTGAGCTACGCAAGCACCTTCGCCACGACAAGGAGTGATCCATGAAGGAGGCAAATAAGTTACAAACTATCTAATCTAATCTATCTTGCCAGCCAGGCACACCAGTCTGTGCTATGCCATGGAACACTCCTCCAACTTGGATTTTCCTTTCCACCAGAGCCTCTCACAGACAGACTCCAGTTCTATCCAGCAGCACCCACTGGAGTACACCTACCGAACAATAGAAAAGAGAGTAGCAGAAGAAAGCACCTGCTTCAAACTGCCCTGTTGCAACACTGCTTTTTGCTGGAATGGCTGGTCAATGCCGCACTCTTCTGGGGCAGTCTTATGCTCATCAAAGCCCTAGGAATGTGTACTCAGAAGTTCCACTGTATGCAGTGCAACTTTTTTCCAAGTGAGCATGTTAAGGCTGCAATCCTGCGAACACTTATTTGAGAGTAAGCCCAACTGAATGCAGTGGGTTTACCTCTGAGAAACCAACAATAGGAATATGCTGTTTCCTATTAAATTGATAACTTGTTTTGGTTTTTTTAAATTAAAAGTAAGGAACAACCTCCTATAGCACTGTTTAAAGCACTTTATGTACAATCATCTAGTTGTAATTCTTACAGCACCCTGTAAAGTAAGACATGATCATCATCGTATCATTATCATCTTATTCCTATTATTGACCATATTGGAGAATAGAACTGATGTTGAGAGGAAGGGACTTGCTTAAGGTCATGGCAGAAGTGAGATTTTTACCAGGGGCTTGCTGATTCACAGCTCAGTATTCTTAGTGTTTTTCTGCATAAGGGTGTTAATCTACTTTTGATTTTTTCACAGAATAGGGATCTCAGCACTACAGAAATAACATTTTTTTTGCTGCTCTTCCACCATATAATCTCTAGCTGGCACTACAGTGTAGCAGAATAATGCAACTATAAAAGTGGGAAACCATTTTCTTTTACTTCCTTTGAATAATACACTTTCTCTAAAAAAATTCTTACTGAAGATGCTGTTAAAAGCAACAGTGAAACAGGAGGGTCTGATGTCATCTAAATAAATAGTTAACAACTGTGACAGTCTGTGAGTGTGGAATGACAAGTACACATCAAATCCTTCGTGTAGAAAACTTGTTAGCCATTATGCTACCCCAGTCAGGTTGCAATATATGGTTTGTGTGACAGTGTACTTTTTATGTCACAGATTGCATGTGTGAAAGATGGCAACTGGGGAAGAAGATTTCAGCGCATCTATTTCTTCCTGTGATGCTTTTACAGAGGTAAAAAATTCTTGTTCCGTGGAGCCAAAGCAAAGAACTAGTCAGGAAGAAAACACAGAGCTACCAGGGGAGAGCTACCAGCAAAAAGGTAAGGCTTACTGACTTCTTCCAATCATTTTTTCTCATTCTGCCTCTAATTTTCTGACTGTTTTTCTCCTCTGTAGACAAACATTCATAATTATATTTTGGGGCATTTCCTCCCCCATGCACTGACACACAGAATATTTATATGTTGCAAAGGAAGCAATACAGATTATGGTGGGCAGAATAACATTCTGGGAATGAAAACTTACCCATAGAGAAAAACAGGTGATAGGAATGCATGCATTGTGTTTTGCTCTTAGGAAACATATGTATGGAAAGAAGTATTTCATAAAGTGATCCACTGAATAATGTTATATTATGGGAATATCAGTATCCATCTGTCTATAATTCAGGAAATCACACCCTTCTGAATGTCACAACTGTTTGCTTGACAGACCAGCATTTTTGGTCACAATATCACTCAGTTTGCTCCAATGTTTTTAGCAAAGAAATATGACCATTACATGGGATGAGTTTGCCCAATTTCTTTTCAATATTCAGTACTCTAGTTTGTATCAATGTTATTCATATTAAGGAATGTATAGTAAATAGGAGTTTTTTGTTTTCTAATGAAAAATCACAAAAATTCACATTTTCACACAGGAAGCGGTAATTACAGGGTCTTCTGCCTGTGGCCCAGAAAGGTAATACCTGTCAAAGCAGACAGGTTTTTAAACAAGGCTATTAATCCATAACTAACAGCATGTTCATATCCATAAAACTCATATTTTCAGATATATCCCTGAAGCTAATCATGGTAAAGTGTAAGACTGGGCTTCCTGATTCTCAGCTGCAAGGGTATCTGAGAGGACGTCTCCGTCTTCTGGAGAATGACAGCAAAAAGGCCAGGGCAGTTTTTAATGTAAGTCATTTACACACAATTGTTAAATATGTTTGCCTTTGGTGAACCAAAATTAAGCTTCCATCTGATTTTGCATTAGGAAGCTAGTGACCCCTTTACTAATTCTGCCTTATGTAATTCGCCCTCTTTGATTCAGGCTTCCCACTGACAATATTCGGCCAGAATGTATGGAAGGTGTCTGGAATGCCAGGAGGACTTGCCAGCCAGCAACTTCCCACTCTCCCCCATCCAGTGACTCACAGCATGTGAGGGGGATTGGTTAATAGGGCTACAATCTTATAAGCCCTATTTATCTTTTTTTAAAATAATGTGCTGACCTTTCCTAGCAAAATGGTTGTTTGTTTCTAGCTCTGCTACCTGCAAAGCACCAGAAAGCCATAGCTGGCATGTTAATGCTATAGCTGAAATAGAGGTCATCTGTAGTCCTCTATTCGTATTGATGGAAAATTAAATGTACACATAAATTAAAATGAAGATAAAATAGCAGCATCCATTATATCACAAGCAAACACCTATGTGGATCTTTTAAAGCTCTAAATGGCCTGGGACCTGGATCCTTTCAGATCTGTATTGTTTCTTGCTGCTCTGTGGTCACATATAAACAAATGCAGTACTGTATCTGCTGTATTTATAATGGGATCAAGTGCAATATACCAATGCATAATAATTTAACAGTATGAACAAATGCTACTGTCACAACTGTTGGAGAAGTCAGAATTCATGCTGCTGCTTCAAGTTTTGTTTTTAAAGTCTGATAAATGCATGCACACTTGGACACACCCAAGTTTCTGAATATGTAGGGTTCTGTTTATAAAAAGTTTGTGCAATGATTAATAGTCATACAGCAGTGTAGATGCACATTGAAAATTATTCCCCAAATAGATGACTGACTACAGATGTGCTGCTGGCAAATCACTTCCCCTGGGCGAAGGTCAAATGTGAAGATAAGAAAAGTCTTTCCAAAACAGATTCTACAGTTTTGAATCAGCAAAAGTTATCATACCACTGGAACTGCATGTGGATAGTTCAGTGGCATGCAAAAACCACAACTGCCCAATCATCCCTCCCCCATTATGCATATGATCTGGGCAGAAGTGAATAGTGATGAAGGCATAGCTTCAGAACAAAGGGCTGGAGAATACATCATGTACTGCATGACTGCCTGAGATTGCACTACAAAAAACAAAACAAAAACAAAAAACAAACAAAAAAAAACAAACCCCAAATCAAAAATAAACTCCCCCCCCCCACCAACACACACAAAAATCCTCCCCCAGGGTAGGTCAAATCCAAGTTATCTGAAGGACTCCTGGTTCCCATAAGAACTTATCTGAACTTTAATACTTGCATCAAGTTGTGGCTTTCCTTTTTGGATATTAGGAAAGGTGCAATATAGATCTGTTTCAGCAATGCCCATGAACTGTTGCCCTGTTCTTATGAGTCCCTATTCATACTTGTAAACTTCATGTGTACATGATGAATATGTGTGGACAGTATATTTGGCATAGAGTCATGGTGCACAGTGGCAGGAACTGAAAAACTCAGCTAGAAAAAAAGATCTAAAATTATGATGCGGAGAACTAGCAGCAAGTCAGAGAATGAAATAATCAAGCACAGGGTTTCAGCTAGGACCATCAACTATATAATCAAAACTATGAGGGGAGTCTGTGGAAGAAGGAAGGGAGATGGAGTGTGTTTGAAGGGTTTCAGTGGCAGGAGGAGGCAATGCTACTCCCCCCAAGAAATTAGAAGAGTTCTGGGGGTTGCAAGAATTTGAGGAGTCCAGTTGGAATAGTGATATGAACTGGAATGATGTAAATGGACCTATGGAGACATGGGTAACACTTCTGGAATTAATGGGAAGAGGGAAGGAAAGGCTGAGGAAGGAATGGATTCAAACACAAACATTACATATTCCAAGGAGTGTTCTTTCAGTGACTGCTCTAATATAAGAGTCCATAAGCTCTTAAATCCCTTTGTACCCTAGCTTTCCAGGTATAAAATAATAAAAACAAAACTGTAGAGGAAAGGAAAACTAGGGGAAGGAAAGGGGGAGGAAGAGTGATGCTATTTATTTATTTATTTAGAAAATTTGTAGGCCATCCATCACAGTTGTCTCTGGACGGTTTACAACATTATTTCAAATCCTAAATAAAATAAATTACCTATTCCACAACTGAGCACAAAACTAATCTATTTAAAATAAATAAAATAAATCTAATACAATTAAAATTACTTTGTTAAAATATTGGTCAAATAAATAGGTTAAAGAGCAAACTTAAAATGGCCTGAATCTGAGCACCTTGCTTATATTCCGCCACGTTCCCCACCTTCCAAATTACTGAGACAGAACACACGGTAGGAGGCAGCTCCTAGAAATGGCAATGCATGGCCTTTCAGTGGCAGTTTCCAGGGACAGAGTCTTTTCTTTGAAGTTCTAGAGCTATGGAACTCTTCTCCCAGGGAGCATGCCACTTTGGTTCTATCTTGTCAGGCATAGGTCCTCAAACTACAGCCCGTGGGCCAGATCCGGCCCCCCATCTATCCAGCCCGACTCAGAGGTTTTAGACTCCCCACGCCCGCCGGCACTGCCTGCCTCACCGCACGGGCAGCGTGGCAGCGGCTTGCTCGCTCGGAGATGGTTTTGGACTCACTGGTAGATCTTCAAGTAAGCAAGCTGCCACCGCACACACCCACTGTCACCTCGCGCACACCCGCTGCTGCCTCACTGGCCCGCGCCCGTGGGCACCACCGCCTTACTGGCCTGCACCCATCGCCACCACCTTTCAACTGGCCCCCTGTTGAAAAAGTTTGAGGACCCCTGTTGTAAGGGGTTGCTGCTGCTGCAGTTTAGCAGTGATTTTTCTGTAGGCTTATGTGCAGACTTAGATGGGTGATAAAGAGATTGGTCCCAGTTTTTTTTTAAACAAAAGGATCTTCAAGGAATGTGGAAACACATTTTGGATCAAATGAGGCAGAGGAGTGAGATTCTACAGCTGAAAGACCAAGGGATAAGACAAAACAGTCACCAAGAATCAGACAGTCTGAAACACTGGAAAAGCTAATGGCCAGTATTCTAACTCTGCTTGTTTCATTTGTTATTGACTTCTGTAATACTCTCTATTTGTACTTTAAAGCCAGGAGAGCCAGTCAGCTTTAACTTAACTGTCTAGTTAGAGAGCATTTGTCTGGATCTGCTTGGACAGAGGAACAGAACAGCAGCCAACGGTGTGGGTATACAAGTGCCTTAAATAGGGTAAATTTTTGGAAAAAAACTTTAAATAACTGATTCCTAAAGATGGAATATTAATTTCTTTTTAGTAAACTTCATTATTTTAAAAATAATATTTCAGTGTGCACTCTATAACCATCTATGAAAATAAAAAGTGAACAGCTACATACATGTCTATGCTGATTAACCACAGTATATAGTTATGTCAGGTCCATTGGCATTCTGAATCTTTGAACATATGTAATCTGAAGCCATATTTATTCTTTTATGTGCCATATACTGGAAATGATACTATAGGATCTCACTGCAATTTAGGCACAGAGAAGCCGCCTGAGTGAGGACAATTTACTTCTCAAAGATTATCCATCAGTGTATAATCAGTGGGAACCTTTCCACAAAAATATAATTCTTCATACTTAATAGCAAATGGCCAGTTAACCATCTGTCTAGTAGTCTCATTTATTTATTTTTTATTTATTTAAAACTTTGTAGACCATCCCATTACTGAAGTCTCGGGATGGTTTAACAATACAAAATGTAAATTTAAAAAAACAACAACACAGAGTCCTAAAATTTAACTAACAATAAAACCCCAATTAAAATGCTCAGGTCTTAAAACATTGGGAAAATAAAAAGGTTTTGGCCTGGCGCCGAAAAGAATAAACTGATGGCGCCAGACAAATCTCTCTGGGGAGCAAATTCCAAAATTGGGGTGCCACCACAGAGAAGGCCCTTCTCCAGGTAATCACCTTCCTAATCTCCTTCAGGAAGGACACCCGGAGAAGGGCATCTGCCCCAGATCTAAAGGGGCGGGCAGGCACATATGGAAGGAGATGCTTTAATAGTGCACCAATGCTAAGTGAAAAGCTCTTTAAGAACAGTCAGCACTGAGTAAATTAATACTTAAAATCTCTGTTGCAAAATTAGTACAATTGCTACACATACCTATAAATCATGCTCATGATAAACTACTGTATCTGAATCAAAGACGGGGAAGGTCATAATAGAAGAAAAGTGTTTAAAAAAATAAAACCCCAGTAGCTTTGTATACATGTATATGTGAATTTCTTTTTTCTCTCTGATGCAGTAGGCCCTCCATTTCACTCCAATTTGTCTTATGGCAACTTTAGCCTTGTTGTTCCTGGGGTCAACAGTTGTTTAATTAAGAAACATAATTTCTTTCATTTTAAACACAAATTTACCTTACTGGTTCCTCCAACAGAACTATCACATACATGTTTTGCCTTTGTTAGGAACTATCTGCCAGACTACTATCCATTCACAGCGAAGACCATCTAATAGTGGTAACATTTTGGACCTTTGAAGAAATCTGGAAGTTTGCAACCTATTATTCTCTTGGTAAAGCACTTCTGCCTACAAGAAAGTTTAGTATTTTTGTGATTATTGATTCCTCTGAATAGTAAGAAATATAAATTGGTTTACAAACCTAAGCTTAAATGGAAAGAATTGATTGTGAATACTGCCTATGGTGATACTTTAATGATTGAACAAAATTCAAAATAGAAGATTCATATACCCCAGATATTTGGAATCTACCTCCTGAATCCATTTCAGATTTGATCCAGACTTCCTCCAAGGCCTGAGCATGATCCAGACTAGTATTCTTTCAGCCCATCAGTGTTTCCCAGAGTTGCCCTCTGCACTTCTCTCAAATTAATAAGCCAGGAAGGGTGGTAGAAATAGCTCTTGCAAAGGGCCTAGATTCAGCATTCTGAGAAGTATAACTCTGTGCTCTGATTCCCTGGATGCTGCTGTTGCACATGATTGTCATATCTTCCAGTGCTGTCAGGAACCATTAGGAATAAGTTTTTCCATGGCCACTGTCATCCTTTGATGCCATGGTAGGCTCAAACAGAGATATCCAGGATCTAGGCTCCTTTGCAATGATTTCTGTGAGCTCTTTAATAGAGGCTCAACCAAGTAATATGTTATCCTGAATTATGGACTAGAGCAGAGTAAGATACATTTGCCCATTAATCTTGGTGTGAAAATAGTGCTGACGCATATGTTTGCAGGTCATGGCAAACCATGCTGTGCAGTTTCCACATTAATTTTGGGCTAAACTGACCTGTCAGACAATCACATGATTCAGAGCACAATGCAGTTTCTGTACTGCCCACTGCATCCCCTGGGCCTTACCACACATCCTGGCAGCCCCAGGAGAGAAATCGCCATACTTTCTCTATTTTTGCCTGCGGTCCATGGCAGCCTCTTCCTGACTGGTTCGCTACTGTCTTGAGGCAGGCTCTCTGCTTCCCCCTCCCAAACTAGATTACATGACTGCAATGCTTCCCAGCTGCTCCAGCCCCCACAGAAAGTTTAATTAAATGGAAATAAACAGTTTTACCACAATCCCCCACTTCTGCCTCTATACATTTTTGTGTTGTCTCCCAGTTTCTGAAAGTAACTGGCAGATGGACACTAATGGAAATAAAATGATCAATGACACATCTGTTGCTAGGGAACTGAGGGCAGTAGAGATTGAATGTTAGAAATGACCACTTCTGTACCTGTTCTTAATGTTTTTAATGGTGGTCTCCAGTTCAGACAATCAGAGAAACTGTGGTGAAGTATGGAAACCTTAGAACAGACCATTGATTTTCATTCTGGCTTCAGAAAACTAATCCTACCACTTAGGACTCTAGAACTGGGTCTGGACGACACAACAAACTCATGACTGTAAGCTTTCACTATGTCTTATTTTGTTGTGTAAAGCAACTCAATACAATCCTATAGAAATATTGTATATATTATATTCTTCAGTGCCTTTTTGAGTGAAGTGTGCTTGTAAAATGTTGATCTATCATTTATTAATGCCCCACCTTTTTTCTTATTTAAAGAACTTGAACAAGCTTACCATCATTCTTCTCTTGCTGCTTTCAGTCTTATCTCCGCAACAACGGCCCTGTGAGGTAGGTTGGGCTGAATGTCTGTGACTGGCCCAACTTATTCAGTTGGCTTCATGGCTGAGCAGGGACTAGAACCCAGATGACCTAAGGCTCAGATCCACACTCTTAACCACTATACCGCACTGTCATCTAAACTTCTTAAGTTCAAAGGAGCTCTAATATGAGAAAACATTTGGAATATAATATGACCAGAATTATCCAAAAGATCTGATTGCTTTCACTAGTAAAGGTACACGTAATGAGATTAAGATAAATGATACATAAGTAAAGTCATGAGAATGCAAAACAAAAAGTTTCTAAATTCTGCAATGTTCAGCTTGATATAACAAGATAATGATTCTGTTCCATAAGGCACAGCTGCCCTGTAGCTCTATCCTTCTTTTTCTTTTGTGAATTCAAATAGCCTTAAATATGGACTGCAGACAAAAACATTCTGGAGTTCAGAGAAATGTGGATACCTTCTTAATTGGTATACTGCTTCCAGCAAAAAATGCCCTAGAATTCAGCCTTCTGGTGGCCTTCAGAGGCATCTGGACCACAACTCCCAGAATTCCCTTCCATTCCCATTCCCATTCTGGATGTTGCAGTCCAAATGAGTCTGGCAGACCCAAGGTTGGGGAAGGCTTCTAAGCTATCCAACTGTTGCTTCTGACTTTTTTCTTCCTTTTTTGTTCAAAGAATATGTTAAATAATATGTTATTTTGAAAATGTTTTTGACAGGTTTTTTAAATGATTGCATGGAGAATCTGTTGCTAGATGACTATTTATGGCTCTCTCTGCCAGAGGAAGCAGTTAGAATTGATGTCCATCTAGATGAAGAATGTCTTGATATGATATACAGAAGGCTGTTAACTCAAGAAGGTACCAGGGTTTGTAATTATTATTGTCTGGAAATGTGGAATATTCTTTAATTTGCATGAGAATATTTTGGAACAAAAATTTTTGAATATGCTGTGCTGCAAAATGTTGCATGGTCTCCCCACCTTCTGTTCAGTGTCCCAGACAGGCCTTTTGTGCAGTGTGGTAGTAATGGGAGGTTCAGAAGTGAGGAAAAAGAGGAAAAACTTTGTCAAGTCACAAGCAACTTTAGAGGACAAATGGATTTATGTCTATTTGGGAACATTTTTTAAAGTATGAAAAGTGGGAAATGCAGGGGGAAACCTTATCATTTCTTCCCTATGGGAGATCTTTAGATAGGACAAGATCTGAAACATCTTTTAAAATCACTGTAACCATAATGGAACATCATTTACTATAAACTAGCCAATTACTCCCACCCCCACCTTCCTGTTTCAATGTTCCTTTGATGTTCCACCCTTGTGTTCTGAACCCAACTTAGACCTGCTCATTCTGTCAATTTTCTGGCCCTCCTAACTTCTGTGAGGAGATTCTGAGCTAATTTTGTCTGCTCTGCAGCTCCCTGAGCAACATCCGGTGCTCTTCAGGAAAGTTCTTCTCTTCCTGAGATGCTGTGGAGGGGCAAAGGGTAGCAGCGGCTAACAAACTTTGATGAGCTTGTTTACTTCCATCAGATCCATGCCATGATCTAACAAAGTGACAGTGTTGGAAGGGTGATTTAGCATTATTAATGAAACAGTGTTGAAGAAAAATACAACTTTATTTTATTTATTTATTTAGAAGGCTTCTATGCCGCCCCATTCGCCGAGGCCTCGGGGTGGCTCACAATAATAATATGAAAGTAAATAATCTTATAAAGGAAACAAACCATGTGATAAGGCTGAGTCATTTAATTTACAGTTATCAAGAGAATTCAGCTTATCATTTGAAGCTCCACCAATAACATTGGCTATTTAGGACCCTAGATTTAAGTTGAATAATGAACTGGGGAATGTTTATTATTAGAAAAATAAGAGTAGATAATTTGTAAAAGCTTTATTCTAGGAGAAGGAACAATCATTTTTAAGAAGAAAAGTTATCCTTTTATCAGTTTATAACTCTGGCATTTTCTGATACAATAGATTATATGAAATTTTAAGTTAAGAATATAATTAGGTTGGAAGCAAATGGAATACATTTAATTGACTTATTATTATTGACAAAATGTATTGACTTATTTTAGCAGGAACTGAGTGAAGATAGCTATATAGTTAGCATAATTAGGAAAGTCCACAACAGGAATAAATAAGTTACAGGTGTTGATACATATCACAGTATTTTTATGGTTCATGTTTAATAGTCTGTAAAATACTAGACTGGTTTTTTATGTAGCTTTTTCCTTAAGGTACCTTCTTTGTATATCATCCTGAAAATGTTGAAAGTGGGAAAAAAGCTGCAGATGATAGAGAAGCAGTGAGAATTTACCAGCTGAAGTGTACTGCTACTGAGAGAGCTCCAGAAGCAAGAGAGTGGAATGACCTACCTAAAGACTTTTCAGTCCCTCTAATCGCTTTTCATCAGTAGGTACCTGAAGCTGATTTTCCGTACATGTGTGCATGCATGTATGTGTGTGCACTTGTGCTTTAATATATTTTTCATAATAGTGAATGACTTTTGTATGAAAAAGTACATACTGATTTCCTCATTCATTCGCCCCTAATTTTATACCAAATGGGGAAAGGATTAATATTCAAATGTTTTATGTAGGCATGTTATGAGCAGAGGCGGCTGGAGCTGGGGATCAAACTAGATGACCCGGGAGACCCCATTTGACTTTGTTTCTATGTTTCTTTGTCTATGAAAGTAAGGGTAATTCTTACCATGTTTAAAAAAGAATGCTACTCCTATGAATGTATTCTCTATATATTCAAAGCACAATATTAAACTATTAAAGAAAACCAACTTTCCAGCATCCAATTCAAAATAAAAAGAAGCTCTAAAAAACAGTGTGCAACAGCACTGGTGTTCAGAAGACCTCCCTCTCTACCTACTTACCTACCTACACACACACACACACACACACACAGAGGAGTGTCTCGAATGAATATATTGAGGGAGCAGCTGGATCGCTTTGGTTAGCTGCACTGACCATTTGTGCTGGCCATCACCTCTGATTGTCAGTGTGTGAGGAAAGCCTAATTTCATACTGTTGTCAATGCATAGATTTTTGGGAGTGGCCACTAGAAACGGTGGCATGGGACATGTTCCTGCTGCCCTCGCATACATTAAATTCCTGAAGTCATTGCCTTGAATAGTCCTAGAACAGATTTCCTTCTGATTCCATTTGATGATTAAATGGGAAGAGTCTTGATAGATCTGTAATTTTTTATTTAGAATTAAAAATATTATATAGATTGGCACTCAAAGATTCAGTTAATCAGTTTGTTATTATGCAAACCATGTGTTATACTTCACAATGAATATTTTAACATAGCATTTTTGCATGCCTAAATTCAGCAATAGCAGTGAGATTACATTTAACAGCCACAATCTAACACAAACCTTTCTAAAAATTAATGTGGTAATACATATGACATTCTTTCAAATCTCAAAAGCAATATAGAAATGCTCAGCATTGGAAGACCATAGCTTTGTGCTGGACTCTGTCAGCTTGATTAAATTCAAAGAACAAAATAGAACCCCCCCCCCGTTTTTTTAACAAAAGCTCTCTCATTTTTTTCCATTTTATTTATAACCTGTGCTGAGCAATGGTGTTTTGCATAACCAGAAAACTGGATTCAGGCACTCTGTATTTTCCTGCTTTCCCAAAGTTCATGCATTTTCACCTATTGTAACAAATATAATTAATTTTAAAGTGAGTGTTGATCTTAACTCTGAGGTAGTGTTAATTGAGAGCTTCGTAAAAATTGTTGCTACCATTTATTTTAGACTTTCTTAGTTCCTTGAACATTTCTCTTCTAGGTGGTTTCTTAAAACAATCGCAGACCCTGTTGGTTTTTCCAGAAAAATGGAACCTACAGTCACTGATCAAACTGGTACGTCACTGTCATTAAAATAGAAGCCCCAGTAATGTTCCTTAGGGTGCAGATCAGTGGGTTGTGTCCTCAATGCCTGTGAGTCTCCAAACTTGGTGGCTTATGAGCAACCCACGCAAAGTAGAAGTGTCAGAAGTCATTTCAACCTCTCCATTTCTTCTCCTCTGCATTTCAGCTAGGGAGGTTCTACTGTCCAGCTGCAGTACTTTGGAAGAAGATAGAGGGAGACTGGAGTGCCATCAAGGTACCTTGTATCCTGATGGGCCCTGTCTCTTTCTCTCTTATGCCCCTTTACCTCCTCTCTAGGGTTGATTTTCTGGCCTCAGAGGGGCAGTTGGCATGGTTCTTTCCACACCAGGTCTGGGAAAGTGAGAGAGATCAGAAGGCAGAATCCCAGCTCCAAGATCAGAGCTCTGTTTCTGACCTAAGTTTTGGGAATCTGGAGTATGCTACGGCCTGCTACTCACTGTCTAGGGGGCCACAAGATTGCTCTCCACCTTACTTTTCATCTCTGCTGCAGTGTGTTGGAGATGCTTGTTTGCTTGGGGCTTGTGAATATTGTTAGTATGGCCAGGGTTGGCTCATTACGCAAGATGAGGCTAACACCTCTGGAAACAAATACTGAGGTAGCAAGGTGTTAGAGGATACAGCTTACCCTATTCTCCCTGAATTGGCTTGCTGCTCTCAGGTGCAGTGGAGCACACTGTATACATTATGGAATCAAAACAATATTGAGTAGTCCATGATTTGCTGCATGATAAGAGTGTGGACTTGATCTTCCCAGTATCACTATGACACTGTACCCACTTTATTTCACTGACTCTCCAAATATGGATTGATTTAGGTCTAATAAATGCATGCATTGCTCAGAGTTAATTAGATGTCTTGAGTAACTGTATGAGAAAACAACTAAAGGTGCACCCCTATTAGTTTTCTGTCTGTTAGAATTAATTCTCCAGTGCTAGAAGTTTCTGCATATCCAGTGCCTTGCCATGCTGCTGCTGGCAGGGTGGAAGGAGAAATCAAAGTGATTTTTACTTCTCTGAGCACCCCCCCAACAAACAAACAGCATTTGAGCTCATCTAGGAGAGGCATGCTGCCAAGGATGGAGCTGAAGAAGCTTCCACATTTTTCATATCCTCTCCATTCCTCCTGGTTCACCACTTCTGTGGCATCAAGATTGTTTTTGAAATCTCAGAAAAATGGCACTATCTATCACAGTTTGGAAGCTGGAGAGAGGGGGTTGGATCTGGATGGTTTCCAGAGACCATAAGAAGACACCTTAGTTTTTTAAAATTTAGAATCATAGCATCAGAAAATAGTAGAGCTGGAAGGGGTCCGTAAGGCTATTGAGTCCATTGAGCTCAGAGTTAAAGCATCATTTATTTATATAATTTCTGTACTGCCCAATGGCCAAAGCTCTCTGGGCAGTGAACAACAGTAATAAAGAAATAAAATACAATATAAATAAAAACAATAGTACATCATAAAATAACATTAAAATTAAAACTATATTTAAACAACATTTTTACAATGAAACAGCTCAGGCATAATGAACTTCAGTAATACAGTGTGCTAACCACATCTATGGTACCCCGCGTTAGTTAAAGGATAGCAAAACCAAAATTACAATTCAAAGCACCTTTGAAAAGCATGGCAAGCTTAAAGCCATCTAATTAAATTGTATCCCAACTAGCTAACATTCAGCCGGCATTACTAAGATGCTTGTGAATGGAGGTGTCCAGGACTTGTCAGAACAATATAGCCTGCTAATTTCTGTCTAAATAGCAGGATGGACATTTGCTATAAGCTGAAGTGAACACTGAACATACAATAGACAGAAATATACCTTGCTATGAAACAACCACCTGTTGCACTACTTCTGTGTGGTGAGTTGTTGATCCGGACTGATTCAACCACATAACAAAACCGCCTGCCATACCTTGGGCTGTCTACCCATAAATACTTGGTTCCTGGTCAACTTTGCAGCATGAGCCTCTGACCAAACCATTGCTGTTTCTCTCTGCTATATTGTAAAATGCAGACTTGGAAATAAAACAGCCACTTGTACTGGAAACTGGTAGAGACAAACCTCCTTTATTTCAACCCAAAATACTTTATAAGACATGTTGATATTTTCACAAAAGCAGCTCATTCCTTAAGAATGCAACCCTCCAGATGAGATTTCTGACCACTAGGACAGGAAGGAAATGGTGTTCCCAGAAGGGACTGGAAACTGTTAGAATTCACCACAATATTATGTATGTATGAAGTGGCATCCTTCCTTAACTGGCAAGTATATGTAGACAAATGTGTGCACATATATAAATAAGTGTAAGCAGAGAAAAATACTAAGTCAGAGAGGGAAATGAAATGCAAAATGTACAAACTGTGTGGATGACATTAAAGAATAAATGTATGTGAAATCAGTGCAGTGGTGATTCACAAAACAATGTTAATTATAATACAAACATCTTGGCACTGTTGCTGTTAATACTAAAAATCTCTGTGTTAGTAAGTTCATTATCTAGCAATTTAAAAATAAAACAAAACACCAGCAACTTGCTTGACCAAATTCTTGATAATTTGATCAAGTTGTGATTGAGGCAAAGGGCTTTTTCTATATGAGGCATCTGTTGTAGTCTTACCTTTCCAATGGTTGTTTTTATTGGTTCTTTAGATAACCATATGACCATGCAGGGGGGGGTGGGTTCTGTCTGTAAAAAGCTTTTTTAAAGCAGGAAAAATGAGGTGGTGTTTCTGAGAGTGAAAGAAAATGGGATACCCTCTTCTTTATTTGCACTTGTGTGTTAGACAGGGCCATCTAGAAGTTTTGCAGAGGAAAAGCAGGAAAGGAAAAGCTTCTCATGTAGTCTCAGATCTCAATTCTGCAACAAAACCAAAAGTGTATGCATAGTATATGAAGTATCCTTGTTCTAGAATAGTCATTTGAAGTTAAGGAGTATTCTAGGAAGGAGAAATGTTTCTCCTGTGATTTCTGACCCTATTTTGGCATCAGATTTATGCCTTCTTTTTCTTTTGCATTGAACCTAGATTGTTTACTCCATGAAGAATGTATAAAAGCATTATTGGAACGTGATTGCATATACCACAACAGGAGATCAGCAACAAATCCTATAAGTGTTGACTGATGTTATTAGGTCCTGAAATAGTGTTGCCTGAATACACATAAGGAGAGACTTTATACCTAGTTTTGCTGAACTTTCTTCCTTTTAGCTGTATTTCTGTATTGTATTGCTGTTGGTGGTGATTGGCTATTTTTGGTCTATAGAACAGATGTGCCACATATGTGATCACTGATACACTGGGTTATAGTTGGGTGTTATATGTGACAAGAAGTGGTAGTCTCTCACTTTGTGTGTGTGTGAGGCGGGGCGGGGTGTCTGTTCTGTAGCTTATTGTTCCTGGGTATCAGTCTGACCTTGTGGACCTGCTTAGTCACTTCCTTAGGAGTTAGTATTTCAGTCAGAGTGCCTGAAGTAAACATTTCTAGCCAGGCTGGAACAGATGAAGTTGTATCATATGTTAGTAAGCAATGGATCTTGCTGCATGATTTTGCTGGAAGCTAAATACATGTTAGATAGATCATGATAAACAGTGGCTCTTATATGTTTACTATATACTGAGCAGTAGTTCCCAGAGAATGGACTTTGCTGCAGGAACTAGTATAGACTCAGTGGGATTAAAGTTGTTGAAAAATATCTCAAGTGACTTCTGTCGAGGGATACAAATGATAAAGAAGTCAGTGTCCCTCAGCTAGAAGTATGTTGTTAGCAGTCCAGTGAGGTTATGGTGGTAATTTTAAACTGAAAATCAATTTCCTATGACTGTGACACTTTAATTCAAATAATCTATTGAATGTAGGTTTTCTTATGGAAACAGGCAATCTTGAAGATGCATGTGTTATTAAGCAACCATGTTTCCTGGATAGCGCTGCATTTGGTCCCTACTTCTAGGAGTGTGTGAACTCTCTTTCAAAAACATGAAGGTGGCATTTGACAGAACCTATCCTGTTCAGCCACTGTTGTGTCGCCAAGTGTGCCATTGTGATTGAGCACTGTAAGGATTCCTTGTTTATCAGCATTCTTGTTCCTGCAAATGCAATTACTTTATTTTCTTCTAATAAAGCAAGGAATGGCTGCACTGTTGTAGGCATAGTGCATTTGCTTACATACCATGTAGTGCATACCATAGCACCTATGGCATCAATCTAAAGCATGCTGCTGGTCCCACCCACCTACCTATGCCATGGTAAATGATCTCTTTGAGACTTTACATCTAATTCATCTTAGAAGTCTAATTTGTAGCATTAAAACAAATCTCATTAGCAACTTATTGTTTGCTTAAATAAAATGCTAAGTACTTGCATTATCACATTACTGTATCTTTTAATTCTTTATTATGCAGCTACAGGATTTTCTATAGCGATTATTAGCCATGAAAGTACTGTGCCTGATGAAATTGGTTTCCAGAAAGGAGACAAAATAGAAATTATTGGCTACTTTGTGAAGTGCATGGAGTGGTTTGTGGGAAGACATGTCCCTACTGGCCAAGTTGGCTTTGTACAGAGCAGTCATGTTAAACCCGATGATTTCAAGGCCACTCTAACTGAGTAAGTATTGTGGTTTAGGACAAGCAGGGCAGTTGCATCCAGACAACCATACCTGATTGAGAGATGTATGTTAGAAGCTACTTCCATGAATGTAAGTGTATTGGATATGTTTACTTGAGGGAGAACTAGAAGAAATAATGGAATAACCATTTCCAAATGATGGAATAACCAAATGATGGAATTTCTAAATTAAGTAAAGAACTGACTAACTTATTTAAATATGTCAAATTCAGACATATCACTACTGATATTTAGGCTTTCTTGCATCTTTAGGGTTGCTAGGGCACGATGCTGTAGTAACAATATTAGTAACAAGACAGAACTCACAAGACAGAATTCCCTTGTCAAGAGCCTGCACCCTGCAGATGTTCTGAAGTACAGCTTTCAGTATTTGTGAATGTTGGGCATGCTGGATGAGATTAATAGGAGTTAATTTGAAACATCTAGAGGGTACTGCGCTGGGGAAGACTAGTCCAGATCTAGCAACTCTGTGGCCCTCTGGATTGCTTCCTTGCTCTTCTCTACAATGCCCCTATCCCTCTGTGTGTCTATCACCCAGTATCATCCTCATATGCCTGCTTTCCAGACTAGTGTCAGCTTTGTCCCTCTGTTTCACTACTTAAACAGTCTTCATAGCACTCCTGAAATCCATAAATGTCCCAATTCATAATTGTGTTCCTTTTTCAGACTTCCATACCTGGCTTCCTTGAAAGATGAGCATTCTTTTTTAACAAGAGAAAAAGCCCTTTTGGAAGTAAATGTGATGAAGCTGTTGGCGCAAACACCAAAAGATAACATTTGCAATACATATCAAATGGGTAAGCAATTCTAATGTTATCTAATCAATTACATGAAATATATGTGCAAGGATTACTTCTGGTTCATCTTGAATTTTGCCATTCATATATTTTATTCATTGGATCCAGGCTTAGAGCAGTCCAACTGAGATCAATAGGAACATCCCTAGAAATGAACAAATTAAGCCTCACTTATTTCAATTTGTCTACCATAAGCTTGACTAACTTTGCATCCAGCTTGATTTTTTCCTGGTCTGGCTTAGTGGTTACAGCAGTCTGCTACAACCTGGTGCCCTCTGATGTGTTAGAATCCATCACCCATCACCCCCAGGCAGGATGGCCAACAAACAGAAACACTAGGAGTTTCATTCCAAAACTTCTGGAGGACACCAGATGGTAAGAACTGGTTAGGAAGCTGATTTTAAGAGTGAATTGATTTGGATTTTCATCACATGGCTCGCTGGCTTACTCTTACTCTACTTCAGTGGTAGAGCAGATATTTTGTATGCAAAGGGTTCCAGGTACCCTTTCAAGGGTTTAGACAGTTTTTGTCTAAAATCTTGAAAAAGTTGCTTATCGGTATTGATAATTCTGAGCTAGATGGTCTGTCTCAGTACAAAGCTCCCCAATAAATAAATATGAATAATATCAATCCTCATTAAATGCTCCCTAGTTTTATTTTCAATAGACAACTGATAATTCTTGAAATTTTAGCAAAGCTGTTAGAATTGCAACCCTTGTGCCCCCAGTACACAGCTGATTATATTATTTTTTTTAACTGAGTTGCCTTTTAAATTAGAAAAGCTCCCAAAGTAGCCTTTCTTTAAAAAATTTAGAAACTTAGAAAATCACACATAGTTTAATTAAACTGGGAGAAACTATCCTTAAAAAGAGAATGGAACTGGTTCATGTAAACTCACTTGGAAACTGCAGAATGTAACATATTTTGCAGGCCACCTAAAACTAAGAAAAGAAATCAGTCAAATTTTAGAGACAGAATTCCATAATTGTGTTGCCACTACAAAGACAGCCCTGCCCCATTTTCCCACCAACTAACCTTCGTGGTGCTAGAACAGGGGTCCTCAAATTTTCTGAATAGGGAGCCAGGTGAAAGGCTGCGGTGACCATTGTGGGCCGGTGAGTTGGGGGTGCCTGCGGGCGCGGGCCGGTGAGGTGCTGTCAGGTGCGTGCTCGCTTGCTCGGATCTCTCCCAGCGAGTCCAAAACCATCTCCAAGTGAGCAAGCCACCCCCCATCCCCCACCCTCGCTCTGCAAGGCAGCGACTTGCTCGCTCAGAGACCGTCTCCGAGCGAGCGAGCGAGCGAGCAAGCCACCACCTCCCCGCTCGTGCAGCAAGCGTGTGCATGGGTGGCAACCGGCGGCGCAGGCTGAATGGATGGCCATGGCCGGCTGGATCTGTCCCGTGGGCCGTAGTTGAGGACCCATGTGCTAGAACATAGAGAAGGACCTCCAATGCAGATCTCTGGGCAAATTCATATGGGCAGTGCCAGACGTTGGTTTCTTGCCATTGAAGGGGGCTGCAGTACTAGAATCCCAGCAACTCTTCTGGTGAAATGGGCATATGAGGAGCACATGCTTTTGCTTCCCAGCACAATTGGACTTCTCACAGAAAGGAAAACTACATTCTCTAGAGTAACAAGTTCCCCATGCACCCTGCTTCTTTACAGAAATTGATTCTTCTGGGGAAAAATGAGCCCGGGGAGCACACTCCTTGTTTTCTAACCCAGCAGTCTTCCAAGCATGCCCAATTCTAGTAGGAAGCCCAGCATGCTATTCCTGCTTTCCTTCTTTCTTAGCAGACTCTTTGTGGAAAGGTAGTGGTTTTGAGTGGCAAGACAGGGTGTCAGCCCACAAGTTAACCACCAAGATACAGGAGAAGGCAGTCTTTCAAATACTGTGCTGCCATACCATAAAGTCATCATTCCATGAATCCTTGCCTATAAATTATCTTGAGCCAAGGCTACGATAAATACACCAGAGAATGTTGTGTGGAAGGATCTAATTCCTCTGTAGCAAATGAAAGACTTTGGCTACAGTTATTTAGTTCTATTCAAGAATGGCAGCATGGATGGAACGGCCTAGGATAGTAGCTAATGTAAGTATATTAAAGATACCAAATTATTGCATTGATGAAACTGGGTTGAATGATGGGTATCACACTCATATTGCACTTTTTTTTTTTGGCTCCACTTTCTGCAACAACTTTCAAAGAATCTGTAAACCGTCCTAAGTCTAAGTATGGGATGGTATAGAAAAGTTTTAAATAAATGAATAAAATTATGAAATAGAGTTGGAAAAGGCCAGGCAACCATCGAGTTCAACCTCTTGCTCAGTGCTGAACCCCACGTTAAACCATCCCTCTCAGATGGCTGTCCAGTTGCACCTTGAATGACTATTAAGTATGATAAAGCCTAGGGAATTTGTTCCATTGTTGTACTGCTCTAACAGTTAGGAAATGTTTCTGGATCTTTAGCTGTAATCTGGCTTCCTGTAACTTGAGCTCATCACCCCATGTCCTGAACTCTGGGATGATCGAGAAGAGAGCCTGTCCTTCCTCCTTGTGACAGCCTTTCAAGTCCTTGTAGAGTGCTGTCCTATCTCCCCTTCTCAAGGTTAAACATGCCCAGTTCTTTCAATTCCTCTTGATAAAGCTTTGTTTCCAATCCCTGGATCATCCTTGTTACCCTCCTCTGAACATTTTCCAACTTGTCTGCATCGTTCTTCAACTGTGCTGTCCAGAATGGGACACAGTAAGGCCTAACCAGTGCTGAGTAAAAGGGAACTAGTACTCAACATGATTTGGAAGTGATACTTCCATTAATGCAGCCTAAAGTAGCATTTGCCCTTTTTGCAGCCACATCACATTGTTGACTCATTCAATTTGTGAACTACAACAGTTCCAAGATCCTTCTCGCTTGCAGTGTTGTTGTAGCCAAGTATTCCTCATTTAGTTTCTTTTTCCTAGGTGTAGAACTTGACATTTGTCCCTCTGAATTTCATTCTGTTGTTTTCAGTCCAGAACTCCAACCTATCACGATCACTTTGAATATTCTTTTTTTCTTTCTTCCAGGTGGGTACTAGCTATCCCACACAGTTTTGTGTCATCTGCAAATTCGATAATTATTCCCTTCCTCATCCAAATTATCAATAAAAATGTTGAAGAGCACTGGGCCCAGGACTGAACCCTGCAGTACCACTTGCTTGAAAAAGTGCCATTGATGAGCACTCATTGGGTTCATTTCTGTAGCCAACTATGAATCCACCTGATAATTGCTCCATCCAGCCCACTTTTAGCTAGTATGTTAATCAGGACATCATGGAGCACTTTGTCAAAAGCTTTGCTAAAATCAAGATAGATTATGTCCACAGCATTCCCACAGTCTGTGAGGGAGGTTACCCAATTAAAAAATGAAATCAGTTTAGTCTGATAGGCTTTGTTCTTGAGAAAACCATGCTTTTGTCTGTCATGTTTAAGTCACATGACTAAAATATGCCTTACACATGTTTTGCTTTTCTTCTTTCTTATTAGATGGACAAGAACCTTTTGAAAAACCCACTGAGCAAGGTAAAGAGTTTAAATATTTGGGATGGTGGGTAGCCTATGATCAATCCCCCCCCCTTTTTTTTTAACATAGAAGGAGCTGTGGGGGAACACTGGGTGGCTCTTGGAGAGGCAGTTCAACTCCTTTCCCTCGTGTCCTGATGGAAACCATCATTCCAAACCTGTTCTCTCTGTCTTGTGTAGTTTGATCTACAATTCATCTTGTAGTTTTTGCATTTTTTTCTTTTCCAATAATATAAGTGTGCATTAACAATGAAATTTGTTTTTCATGTCCTTTTGAAAGCAATTTTTGCATTTCCTTGAGCATGTGCTGCTTTGGATCCCCTCTGATTTTATTATTTCTTGGGATTTGAACAGATAGTGTTTGCAAACTTTATATATATATGAAAGAGGAGCCCTTCAGCACATGTGTGCCTTCCTCCTGCTTCTCAGAAAACAACAGAGAGGTCAGAGTGAGCCAAAGTTGCCTTTTGTCAGGTGCAGGGCCTGAGTGACCAAGTGCCTGCAGAACCAGGAGCACCTTGCAGGCTCTTGCAGGGAGCAACTGAAGAGCAATTATGCAGTGCAGCTGGAGGACCTGAAAACCAGCCTAAAAGGCTTTCTGGCACTGCTGTTCTTTGCTACAGTAATGCAAGATGTCTTCAGGACTCTCTTGTGCTCTGGCCTCTGCATCAGCATGCCTTGAGCCCAGCTCCAGCTGTTCCTGTCTTGCTCTGGTTAGTCCTTGCCTTGTTCCAATCTGTTCCTGCCTTGCTCCTGTTTGCTCTTGTATACCCTAGTCTGCCTTTGCCCTGCTCCTGTGTGTTCTTGCCTGCTCCAAGTTGTTCCTACCCTGCTCCAGCCCACTCTTGTCTGGATCACTCTTACATGACTGTTTCCCTGGCATCAGACCACTAGACTGTTTCTGGACCCTCTCTTGCCTGTCTGACATTAGACTGCATGCTGCCTTGGCCCTGACCCTGGACTGCTGGCCATGCTACGAGCCTCTAGGCCTACTAAGCTGTAGGACCTGGTCTCATACCAGCACTCGGGTCTCAGCATTCTGCCTGTCCCAGCCGCTGCCCATGTTCCAGCCCTTACACCTTTCCTGGTTGAAATCAAAGGGACTTAAATTCATTTCGGCTAACAGGCACAATTGACTTGGTAGCTCTAGTGTAAGTATAACTGAATCTGATTTCTCTTGTGTTCTATGATTTTCATAGGTCAGGTAAGTTGTTCTGAATGAAGGCTATAAGCCTGTTTTTCTAAAAGAAACGTGAACTTCGTTCTTATGGTTCTCTTGTTTATCTTTGCTTTAGTTTTCTGTAATTCTTTCCTTTGTGTATTTCAGAGACACCACAGACCTTCCTTAATGAAACTTGTAGCACAATTAAATACAAAGTGGCACAGGCGCTAATGAGAAGGAAAAATGTACAAATGCACAAAGAAGAGACAGATGTTCAGAAAAGGCAGTTCTCTGCTTTGAATGGAGAGATGCCTTCTGTTTCCCAAGAACCACATTTCTGCGTATATCAAGATGTATGCTATGGTCCAGAAATCTGTAATTCAATATTATTGTTTCTGAATGGTAAAAGCTATGACACCCACTTCAAGAAGCTATATGACTTCTCATTTTCCTTTCTGAACACCTTGTTTTATGGTTATGCCAATGAGGAAGAACTGATTAATTATTTTGTACTGGCAAGGGAAGCAGCAAAACAAGCAAGTCTGACTTGGGCTTTGACACGGCTGTGCTATCTCCTGGGAAGAATGAGTTTACGGAAGTTCAAACTTTCTCAAGCTCGAGTTTATTTTGAAGAAGCTTTGGCAACAATACAAGGCGATTTTAGTGACCTTTACCTTATAACTACTCTTTATACAAATCTAACAGGCATCTACCTAAAACAGAAGAATAAAGAAAAATGTATTGGCCTTTTGGACAAGGTTGCTTCCTTGCTTATGGGAATTCCCAGCTATATTAGCAGCACAGATATGGAGTCAGATATTCTGAAGTATGCTTTAAAAAGGGCAGTGCTGAGTCAAAGCAAGAATGCAGAAGCCAGAGCGTGCCTCCTATTAGCAAAGCACTATCTGAACTTTAAACAAGGTGAAGAAGCACTTCCATTCCTAGAAAGACTACAGATACTGAATAATGAATTGGGTTTGCAGAATGACTCATTGTCAATTGATTGCTATTTTAAGCTAGGGCAACTCTATAGTCAAAAGTGTTTGCCCCACCTTGTGCTAAGCTGTGTCAGGGTTGCCTCTTCTTGTGGCTCATGTACATTGCTGGAATTATTCCGAAGCATTGATTTAGTACTAACAAATGCTCCTAAACTCCATAGCCTAAAACCTGTAGGGCACAAACATCCCTCTCAAATTGCATATTATCTCAGACGCTTGCTCCATTTGCTAGAAACTAGCAAAGAACACCAAAAACTCTGCAGCATGGTTTACTGTAACCTTTCTGTACTATACAGCCATCACAAACAATATAGAAAAGCAATTGACTACATGGAGAAGGTTCTGGACACAAATGCAGATATAAGTATTGAAGAAATGATTAACTATGTAGTCTTTCTCGGTTGGTTATATCTTCTGCATGGACAAAACACTGTAGCTCTGGACATTCTAAATACAATAGTAGAGTCTTCACAGAGCAGTCATCCACAGTTGGGTGTAATTTATAATATGATTGCAATTTGTTTGAGACGGATGAAAATTACAAAGCAAGCTGCTGAGAACTATTGTAAAGCTCTGAGCATATCAAGAGAGATGAGAAGCATACATAATCAGGCTGTTGCTTTGGCCAACCTGGGGATTCTCTGTCTGCATTCAGATGCCAGAAGTCTTGCAGAGCATTTCTTAATTAAAGCAATGAAGTTGTTCTCTGAACTGCCAAGTGTTGAGTCTGGAAAGGATTTCATAGACATTCTCCTCAGACTGGGGTGCTATTATGCCAATGGAGTTTATAAAGACAAAGGGAGATGCTATTATGAATGGGCATTTTTGGTGGCAATGGAAACAAATCATTTGGAAGGTACGTAGAGTTCCGTGCTCTCAGAAGTAGAAAAACCTGCATTTAAGGGCCTTTTCCCAGATGCTGTAAAGGGAAGAAGGTGGAAATATTAAGGAAGTTTTTCTTCTGTCTATCCATATGTCCTTCTCTTTCTAAGCTCATTGGCTCTCGATAGCTTTAGTCAGCATTATCCATTAACTTCCTTGCATCTCCGCTCATTTTCTACTAGACACAACGTATTAAGACAAGGACTGCTCCCTCTTTGTTCATCCTCTGATGTCATGAGATGAAACTTGCAATGGTAAAAAAGAGAGATATGGAAAATTTCTCCCTTCTCCTTTTACACCTTCAATTACTATTTAACACTTTGAAACACAATCTTAATTGTGTTTGACTATGCACAGTTATGGGATAGGCTGTGACCATTCTAGTTTTGTAACAAGGATCAAGAATGTAGAACTGTAGCTCAGTGGTAATACACATACTCTGCATGCAAAAGATCCCAGGTTCAATTCCTGGCATATATTTCAGGTAAAGCTGGAATATATTTCTACCTGAAACCTTGGAGAGCTACTGTCAAGCCATAGATTGACTAGTCTAAGTCAGGACAAAACACTGTACCATAGGTGACTGATAGCCATGTAATTACAAAATATAGACCAGGTTAACAGATAAGCAGCACAATCCTCTGTGGTAGCCTTCAGACTCACTGTGTAGATGTTTTATGGCCTTGTTTTGATTGTGACATTAGAATTGTAAAGAAATTCTCATAGAATTTCAGGCTCAGTGAAGATGTATTAAATTGTCAAAGAATCTGCCAGGGCTAAAAGTATTTCATGTTGAGTCAAGCCCCTCAAGGACAGAAAATTAGAAGCCAAGGCTGATCAGTGCTGATGTGCAATGTCACAGACTGTGCTTCCTTGTTGACAACTTCTGTAAAAAAAAAAAAAAAGCACTATTTGTGACACTGCAAAGATTCATTGCTGATCATGGGGCACAACTGTTAAGCCACTCATCTCATCTTCCAGTTTCCTAGTCTTGTACAGTTTGAATCAATATGAAATTGCTTTAATTCTGGTCTTAATCCAGTTTTTTTGAACAATTAATTTCCCTGGTTTTTAAAAAGGAAATTATTATTGCAATTGTCTGGAAAACCCTGCCCTCCCCCCTAAAAAAACCCAAACTGAAAAACAAAGCATGAACAATTGATTAACTAAGTATAGATGTATAAATAAATAGACATTACTCTGCATGTTCTGAAGGGCTTACTTTTGAGCAATCCTGCACAGGGTTCCAGCATAGCTTTTTCACTTTTATTTGCTCTCTCAGTTAGTAAGAGTAATTCTCCCTGCCTTCAAACTTAGCTCGGTTGACGGCTTCCTGCTACCCCTTTCCTCATTGCCAGAATACTGGAATTTAAAATCCTGGACTAGGAACATTCTCTCATCAGAGTATAACTGAGTATATACCCAGGATAACTTTGCCATTAGTTTGCTCTCATAGACTTTAATGGGACAGAAAAACCTTTTAAATCAATGGTCAGAATTCCACCAAAACACAATGAAAGGCATGTCTCCATGAAGTAGTTTGCCTTGGAATTTAAAGAAAAGAAGTGATGACAAGCCACACACTGCAGTAAAAAGTATACTTGCGTAAATTTTGAGCATGTTTTAACATGTTGATTCTGTGTATCAGATTGTTTTGAAATTTTGCATAATTATAGAATTTTTCAGGTCGATTATTTATGTATTTATTAAAAGATTTTCTCTCCCGTCCCTTACAGAACATCTTGGGACTGCTTACAATAAATTATGGATGCCAGTGTTTGAAGTATTAACAACAGATTTTTTAAATCAGCACTTGGAAGTAGAATTTTGAGGCTTACAGTAGTGGATTTCTAAATTTTTTTTGACAACTTTCACTAATCTAGTGGGAAATATACTTTTAAGCAAGTTAAGATCCCAAAGTCACTCTTCCAGTTACCTTTAACCAATATTGATTTTAAAAATTACTTTCAGATTACCTTAGCCTCAGTATCTAGTTCACCAAGCCTCGTGCAGCCAAGCGGTTCATGGCTCTTTCTTTCCAGTGGTAAATCATTGTAGGAGCAGAAAGGAGCCGAGGTCCTGCAGAAAAAACAGTGAAATTTCCAATAATCATGTTTATAGAAAAAAGAGAATGTCCTAAGACAAGAGACATTTACTAAAGCCTTCATCTCCTCACCTATTATGCTAACCAGCAATCTTCCAAGGCAAAATAGAGGGGGGAATATGGATCCAACCCATTTAGTCAAATGAATTGCCAAGAACTGAGACTGGGGGATGGTTAACTGGGGTTTTCCCCATATTTTTCCTGAGCTAATGCCCATCTCCCAAATGAAGAATTTTCTTGTTTGGATCACATATTTCAGTCCAAATCACAGTTAGGTTGATTACCACTCTAACATAATTTTGAGGAAGTTTATGAGTAGCAAGCATAGGGGATGAATTTCCTTGATATTCAAAATTCTTTACTATATCTCATTCATGGTCTAACTGTTTCAGCTCCTTCTGTAGTCTTCCATGTTCATTTTTCTATTCTGCCCCATAATATTATCTAATGTTATAGTTTTCATTGTTGAATTAAGATATAACTCAATTAATTAAACTGGATCAGCAAAATAAGAGGTCAACATTTTTAGATTACTATCTTGGAAAGATATCAGTGACAATAAACCACCTTGAGCCTGCAGGAAAATATACAAGCTAAATAAATATACATTGCAGTATGTTGCTTTGCAACTGACTTGTTCAATTAAAGCCTCTGTTACCTCTTCTTTATAGGGCAGCTCCAGGCCGTTCAGTATCTATGCCAGTTCTACAGTACAGTTCTTCCAGATGAAGCTCAGTGTGTCATCTACAATGAATATCAACTCTCCTTAGTAAGGAAAATGTCTGACAAAGTAATGGAGGGACAGATATTGGAAACCATCAGTCAGCTGTATCTGTCTTTAGGCACCGAAAGGTAAAAAATGGCAACTCTGAGGGCTGACTTGTTTCATAGTGAATGCTATTTAGTTACATTGCTTTTATGTCAATGGGTTGGGTTCAAAAGTGCCATTCTGTATTCAGAAGGAATCTTTTACTTATAGAAATTCATTTTATGCTTTGGACTAGAGCTTTATGCAAGAAAAGTGTCATTCATACACTAAATGGTATTTGATTTAATTTTTTCTTAGTTCTCTGGATCTAACCCTTTTCATTATTCTCATCATCATCTCAATGCTTTTAGTTTCATTAGCACTGGAGTGAGAACAGATGGGGGGAAAAGAAAGAGGAACCAGAGACAATAAAGAAGGGGGGGGGAGGCCACAGTGGTAACATACATGGAGTGCACATTCATGCATGTAAGGGATGCAGTGGGGAGGGGGGACTTCAGGCATGTTTGTAATTGGGCTCCACCCCTATTGCAGTCAGTTTGTGGTGGCCACTGAGGGTACTATTTCAAATTGCCAATTGCACAAATGAGACCCCAAAGGTTGAAGACCCTTGCCAGAATCATGGAATTGAAAGCCACTTCAAGGTCCAAGAAAATCAGTGGCCCACCTTCCCTGTCCCTCTATTCATTAAGGACTTTCCATGAGATGATCAAGGCAGTTTCTATCCCAAAGCCAGTCCTGAAGCTTATGAAACTAGATGTAGATATCAATGTCATCCAAGAATAACTAGAGTTGGTTAAACAACACTCTGCTAACTTGCTTGAGAATGGAAGGCTACTCACTGGGCTATAGTTATTAATTGGGATGGACCCAAGTTATATTTTCTTCAGGAGTTAGCAAGTTATGGCTTCACTTTAAAAGAAGGAACCTCTCTTTCTTCCCACCCCCCATGCATTTACAACCACCTGGACTCAGATGGACATTTTCTAGATTTATTAAGGATAAGTGTTGCCTATAAAAGCAGGCTAGACTTGATGCATCTTATCCATATCTAGTAACAATGTTATTTTTATAACATTTTTTTAAAAAAATAAAAAAATAATTATTTTTAAAAATAAAAATTTTAAAAAACCTGACCCAAACAATGCTCTGGACATTGTCTGCCTCTTTTACAAGGGCAAGACTACCATTCATGTATAAAGTAGGATTGGTGAGGGAGTAAAATGCTATATTTAGGCACAACATTGCCCTGAGGGCATATCCCAGTCATCATCCCTATTGGTAGGTAGCTTGACCTTTACCTGACAGGATGTATGAGGTACCATATGGCAAACTTTCTATTCAGCAGTTTTTGCAAGGTATCTATCCCCTCTATACATAGAACCTTCATGTCATTTGTGACAGCAAATGGTTAAGAAGAATTGACAGTACACAGCAATATAAACTGGGGCTGGGTTAGAGGTTAAAGAACTGCCTGCCATACTTTTTCTGGCAGGATTTCTGTAGCTTTAGTACTTACTTGCATGGTATGCTTTTCCTATTAGTTCACCTTCGTGCTGCTAAGAGTTCCTCATTCTCCATTCCTGTTGCTAATGCAGTTATTAGTAGCACATGAGCACTTGCAGCCCAAAAGTTTGAGGGGTTCTTTTGCCTGTTGATTTTTGTTATAATTTATTGGCTTTTCCAAAATATTAGGCTTACAGAGCTTATACCATTATTGTTCATTTTGGTAATGTCACAGTCCCCCTTTTGGGTGCACACCTTAATGTAGTGAAGCACTTTGAGAGTGTAAAAGAAGCCAAGAAAAATGCTGCCAGGGGGCAGACTCTCTCACTAGCCTGTACTCCCAGCAGTGTCACAGAGAATGGTCAAAGCAGAGACAGCAGCCTAAAATGCACCCACCCCCTTTAAAAGTAGCGATCACATCAGTGAAAGTGAATTGATCAATCTAATGCTCACGGGAGATCAGAAACTCCTGAAGGGCTACTACTGGATGGCAGCAGTAGTTGAAGGGGGCACTGGCAGAGGGTCTTTTACAGACAATGGCAGTGATGCTGAAGCTAACTCTGGTTCGTGCTATGCAGGAGAAGGCAGTGGTAAACCTTGTAGACCCTATAATGAACAATGATGAAGACCCTATAATGAGTAGGGCCAGACAAGGAGGCTCCCAGGTTGGAAAACACTCAACCAGCTACAAGAACAAATAGCACTGTCACTAATGATGCAACTAGAGCAAAGCCGAAAGCAAGTCTAGTGACTGACAAACACAGCAGCAAAAGGTAAGCTGATGCTGCACAACATGTACAACTGGTACGTGAAACATGAGAGGTATGAATCAACTGTAAAACAAGTAATGGAACATTACATCACAATAACCAGTAGGAGCAAACTGAAGTGGACTGGCATGGGACATGTTCAGTCAGACAAACAGAAAGTTGTTTACTCTAGAAATTACGAACTCAGAAGAACCAGAGTGGCTCTAATACTGAGGCAAGATGTAGTACAAGCAGTAAGGGGCTATAATACAAACTGAATCATATCTATCAGAATTCTTTGAAAACTTATCAATATAGCCATCATTCAAGTTTATGATCCAACAACAGATACTGAAGAAGAAATTGAAAAAATTTATGTCCAACAAGAAATTGATAACTCACCCAAACAAGATATGCTAATAATCAAAAGTGACTGGAACACAAATGTAGGAAACAATACAGAGTCCAATGTTATGGGAGGATTTGGCTTTTAGGGGTCAGAAAAAGCAGGAAAATGACTCTCAAAATTCTTAGAAACCACCAACTGTATATTGCAAATTCAGGCAACCAGCCAGACATCTGCATGCTTGGACATCACCAGATGGCCAATATAGAAATCAAACAGACTATATAATTGTAAATAGGAGATGAAAAAGCCAGAACAAGACCTGGAGCAGATTGTGATAGCGACCATGAACAATTAATATGAGATTATCAGAATAAAGCTGGAAAAGATCACTAACTGACCCATAGTGCCAAAGTACAACTTGAATAACATTTAAGAAATAACATTGAAGGAAACAAAAATCATGACTACAGAAGAATTACATGACTTTATTGTCAACAACAAAGTAATTGCAGTTGTGAAAGATTTTGCATGCCTTGGCACAATCATTTCCAAAGGAGACTGCAGCCAAGGAGTTGGAAAGGCAGCACTGAAGGAACTAGAAAAGATCTTCAAGTGTTTGTCTAGAAACTGAGGCCACACTATTGTATTACTGATCACTACATGTGGGTGTTTAGACTGGATTGAGAAGAAAGCTGACTGGAAGAAAATCAATCCATTTGAAACATGGTGCTAGAGGATTGCTTCTACATACCCTCAACTGTCAGAAAGATGAACAAGTGAGTCTTAGGTCAAATAATTTTCCTGGAAGCAAAATGATGGAACCGAGCTTGTTGTATTCTGGGCATATTCTAATGCTAGGGAAAGTTAAAGCCAAAAGACCAAATATGAGATGGATCATTTCCATATAGAAAGTCTCAGGCTTGAATTAAGAACTGAGCAGAACTGCAAAAAACAGGACATTTTGGAGAACATTCATTCATATGGTCTCCATTAGTTGGAGACTTGATGGTATGTAACAGTGTGTGAGGATTTAATTGACTGCATTTCAAGTGCTTTGTTTGGTTACTATTAATCAACTTCTGGAATTAAGCTAGATGCTACAGAGGTTTCAATTGCTGTATGTGGATTGAGGTTTTAGTAAGCAAATGGTTTGTATTATACCCACACTTCTTTAGTATGAGGTTCTGGCAGACCCAGCAGAAAAGTTAAGAGTATTTTAAGTATTTTTCTAAGTATTGTTTTTATTGAAGATAAGGATTCCACAAAGAATGAATAGTTGTCCAACCTTCCAGCTTAAACTTATCTATTGGAATAAGTAAATGACTAGTTTGATTTATTTACTCATTCATTTCATTTTTATACCACCCAATAGCTTAAGCTTTCTGGGCAGTTAACAAAAGTGGGTTAAACAAAATTATAAACACACACACAACAAAATAGAAAAGAACAATGCTATAATAGCAATTGCAGTTGTTGAGAAAACCAGATCAAGAGTGTCTTTTTTTACATAAATTGGGCCAATAATATGCTGAAACAGTCTGATGGTTGCCATGGTGGCCATGAAGTCCTGAGCCACCCCAGATACAGCAGCCTTGGCATGGAAGTTAAGATCTCCAAGAACCATCATTCTAGAGGTCCTCAACACCAAGTCCAGGATGACCTCTGTTAGCTCAGGCATGGAATCTTATGGGCAGCAGGGTGGATATGACACTGGCAGAATCTCTAATCTGTTTCAGGCACCCAACACAAGGTACTAATGCTCAAGATCCACACTCGACTGAACAGGAAGCCCAGAGAGGGAGATTGTATTCCTGTAGACCAGGGGTCCTCATCCTCCAGACTGTGGCCTGTTAGGAACTGGGCCACACAGCAGGGCTCTAACATCAAATGATCCAGAGTTCAAATGTTAGGGTTGAAATAAGATCGCTCTGCAGTTCAAACAATGCTTCTAATTCAAACTGCAAGCAAAGAGAAAAAAATGCAGTCACAACAAAAAATCATCAGTTGTACACCCCAGTCGGGGGAAAAAGCCTCGATGTCCTGAACTGATTCATCTGGCCTTGAATTGCTCTGTCTTGAATCAATTCATCTTGTCTTGAATCTATTTGGCTTGAAATCGATTTGTCTCACCTTGAATCCGTTTATCTTGAATTGATTCAGGACATCGAGGCGGCCATGACAGTGCAACTATCATGTGCAACTATTAGCCGTCCAGAGACGTTAGTAATTGGATGGCATACAAATTTTATAAAGAAACAAACTTAAAGACACTCAAGAATGATGGGGTAAGTGTGTTCAAAGCTAGGAGGAACATTTTATTTATTATTTATTTATTTAAAATTTTTATATGCCATCATCACATGCCTTAGCATCTCAGGACGGCTTACAAATTTTGAGGGGGTTTAATGGCAATGTATCTTTTAATTTTTTTAAAACATTTGTTGAATTTTTTTATCACACCTCATATATAATCTCAAACTTAATTGGTTTCAGGAGGCCATATTTGCTGTTTAAATTTATCAAAGGGGCATTGTTTAGGGTTGGGAATGGATTAATTCAGTTTCCATTATTTCTAATGGGGAAAATTGATTTGGACATTGAACGATTCAGAGTTCAAACGTTCTCCTGAAATGAATTAAGTTCAAAGTATGAGGCACCCGTATAATGCACTTGAATCATCCTGAAGCCATCCCCACCCCTCCACCGGTCCCTGGAAAAATTGTCTTCCATGAAACTGGTCCCTGGTACCAAAAAGGTTGAGGACTGTTGCTGTAGCCCACAGCTGCCACCCCCCCCACCCTACCCTACCCTCCAGTCAGGCTGTTGCTGTACTGAGTATCCAGGAGGGCACAGTTGAGAGAGAGTAACCCCTTCCAGCTCACCCACCCAGGTCTCAGTGATGCAAGTCATGTCAGTCCCTTCATCCACAACCAAGTCGTGGATGAGAGAGATCTTATTCTAGCCCAGCCTGGCATTCAACAACATCAGCCCCAGACCTGAGGACAAATGGGTAAGGCTGCCAGGAATCATCCAGCTTGGAGAGAAACTATAGGCGATAGCTACGAGGTATCTAGACCCTTTTCTCCTCAGCTGGCTTGTTGATCCTCCAACACTACCTGTGACAGTAATGGGAGCACTACCTTGCTCCCCAAAGTTATACAGACACTTAATTAAAATGGGTATAATAAAAACATGCTGACTACTACACTTCTAAGCTGATCAGTAGCAATTGTTGCGAGACTGACCTCTTCCTGTGGTGACCCTCAGCAGTCCTGAAGAAGTCACTGAACAGGTACCAAATGAGTGATCTCCAAGGCCACTGCCTTGAACTTCTCTCCCCAAAGTAGCTGGTGGTGGTGATAGCCCCCCCTTTAGGGCCCAGCTGCTGCCTCTCTGGTCCAGGCAGGTGGCCACTCCACAGGGCAGGCAGGCAGGACAAGGAAGGATCTTATACCATGATCCAATATCAGAGGAAATTATGGATACATTACAATAATCAGAAGTTTTTAAGAACAGTATATACAGTAGCTAGAAAATACTCTATTTTCAAGAAAGTTATGCAGTGTTAGCTGGGGACTGGTATTTATTTTTCTTACATGCATTCATTTCCTTTAGGGCATACAGATTTGCCCTGGAATACACCAAGAGAAGCCTTGGAATATTCATTGATCTTCAGGAAAAACAAAGGGAAGCACAGGCTTGGCTCCAAGCAGGAAAAATATATTATATATTGAGGCAAAATGAGCTGGTAGATCTTTATATCCAGGTAAGATTAAAGATAGTCTCAGGATTCAAAACTGTAAAGAGGCAATTTCAAATGAGAGAACAGATTTGAACTGGGTATTTCATAGCTAAAATATGGTACTTCAAGTCATTTAATTTTTTGGTTATTTCATCTCAGTAATGCAATACTGTGCCTAGCTTTATTCATCTGGAATTCAGCTGAGAACAGGAAGATTTAATTTATTTAGATTTGAATATATTCTTATAAAAGGTTCTCCCCGCACATGCATGCTAGCCGTGTCTGATCTAGGGGCAGTGCTCATCATGTTTCTAAGCCAGCGTTGTCCAAAGATTCTTCTGTGGTCATGTGGCCGGCATGACTAAATGCCAAGGTGCACGCCACTGTTACCTGCCCACCAAAGTGGTACCTATTTATCTATTTGTACTTGCTTGCTTTCGAATTGCTAGGTTGGCAAGAGTCCTGCTGTGTGGATTTGAACTGCCAACCTTCCGATCAACAGCTTTTGACTCAGCAGTTTAACCTGCAGCACCACTTGCACCCCTATATATTCATATTCATGTTCTTATATTTGAGTGCAAAGTTTTCTTTGCTGTCATGCCTGATATATAACTACACATACTACATGTACTAGTGAATGGAACCAACTTCATACAGTGGAAATATCCCTTACAGTACAAGCTGCTAGTAAATTAGTCAGAGTTGGGTACATTCTGTCTGCCCTGCTGCATTGAAGCCATACCCATGGGCACCCATAGCCATGACCCCTGCCATGGTACACCCCAATAATATCCACATGAAGGGGTTCTTCCATGCCATTCACATAACTGAAATGTGGGGACACTGGAATCCCTCACTAGAAGAAGCCTGGGGTGATACATCGCAAACCCTCACTTTGTTCCAAGCAGGTAGTTGACCAACAGAATGCCTGCACTATCTAGCCACCCAACTGTCTAGCAGAATGGACTCGAATTAGCAGACTGCTAGATAGAGCATCTGGCTAGTATAAGTGATGGCAGCTTATCCATTTTCACACTGTGCTGCCCTAGGTTGCAGCAACATGAAATAACCTGTTGAACAGACCTTGGTAAGCCAAATTTCCTCCTTTTTCTGAATAAGGTTTCCATGATACAAATTAGATCAGTATGTTCCCTGGAAAAGTAATATTTTCCCTATAAATGAGAATTAAAATGCAAGACTTCATGAAAGCAGGAAGGCTTTTTAATTGGTTAGTCCTGTTTTTACCTGTGATTTTAATCTGTTTTAGATGTTTTAATTTGTATTTTTCTTTTAATTTAGGTTATATTGTAAGCCACCACCATGAGCACCAGTTTTTGCAGGAAGGAGGAAAAAGTAATTGCAATAATATTAATAATGGTGGTGATCGTAATAATAAATTGTGGACAAGAGGATCTACCTTTACAATCACCATGGCTTCCTTATTAGATTGCAGCCTAGGAGAGAACATATCTCCTGCTGCCAGTAATTACCTGAATTCACTCCCAAATCCTCTACTTTCCCCCACTCTCCAGGATATGTCTTTAGAGCCTACTGAAGCAGAAGCAAAACTACTTTGTAAATTTCAGTGTTGGAAGACTCAGACAGTGTAGCCTTTGCAGTTAAAATTTACTGTGCTCCCAGTCATCCCTCACATGCAAACCAAATACCAAAGGGGAAAAGAACCCCCAGATGCTCACCCATGCACAACAGAAGAATGGCTACAAGACCATCCTCAGTCTCAAGGCACCTTCCTTTTGGTGTTACCCATTAGGGATATGCTAGCTAATGGGTAATCTAGACAGGACTGCCAGCAAAAGTGCTGTGTCACCATCTCTGACTTCTTTTGGGAGCAGGAACTTTCTGGCAGTGAAGTCCATCCACAAGGAGGTAGAGGCACAAGCAAACCTATTATTAGTCTCTGGGCAGGTGACTGTCCTCCTTCCCCTTGGGCTGCTGCAATGGCTGCTGCATAGTTCCCAATACACCTGCACAAATCTGACAGCTAAATTAGCTATGGATTCCACAAGGAATGTGGAATTCAAATCTTGAATCCATTGCGGTTGCTCTGGATGCAGTTAAATCAAGGCCAAAGAGAATGTCTGAAACAGAATATACCTATATGGACATAATATGCAATGTTCAGATGAACTTTAGGGCCATGGCTACAACAGTATCTCTAATTCTAAAGAGTGATAAATGGAAACATAGCATTAAACACATTTCACAAAGAGAAAACTGAATAAAAATGGTTACTGGGTTATGTAATGTTTCTACTTGAGAGAGTCAATACTTTTATTTCCCAATATTGTAGTATATATCTCTCTCCTCCTAGGTTGCCCAAAATGCTGCTTTGTGTACTGAAGATCCTAATCTAGAAATGGAAGTGTTTGAATCTTCAGGAGACATCTTTTTTAATGGAGACCGAGAAAAGGAAAAAGCAGTGCCCTTCTACAGGGTTGGTGTTCTCTTCTTGATTGTTCAATTTTTTTCACAAACTGAGTCATGTTTTGATTGTACCATACTTCTGATAGGCATATAGCAGTGCCTTTAATGTATGGGATAATGATGTGTGACCAAACATACATTTTGGGGTAATTGCCCAAATGTTCTTTTCGCATTGCATTCATTTTAGGACAAGGCACTGCCAATTGCTGTTAAGACAAGGAACAGCTGTGCTGAGCTTCGACTATTCAACAAACTGGTGGGAGTGCTGTTTGCTCTGAAGGCATATGAGGAGTGTCTGAGATATGCGCAAGCATCATTAATGCTCAGCGTCAATCTAGGTAAAGAGAACACCTCCCTATCAGATATGCATATACATTTCTCATTCCTTAAAACTGGATGACTTTCGACTGAATGGCTGCACCAGAAGAGGAGGAGCTGGGGAAGCATGTGGATCCCTGGCTTGCCTGGGCCTGCTCCTGTTATAATAAACCCTAGTTTACTAACCAAAAACCTTTTTATATTCATGCATGCCAAGTCTACATCTGAGGTAGCAATCACTAGGTGATGAATTTGGACATGGGAACCAGCCATGAGATTTCTTTGTAAGACTTCATAACTCATAAAGTGAACAGTCTTCAATCCTTTTCATTGTAGCAGAGCAGACATTTCTGCTCATGCTACAACAGAATTAAGTCAGGATTAAAGGACTTAAGGCCTATAAATCAAACTGAGCAATTCTCAAGTAGCATTGTGCTATGATTTTAGTGCTATTTCTTTTATTTACAGTGTTTATGCTCTGCCCTATAGAAGTTCTCAGAGCAACTTACAACAAAAGCAAATAAGATAGCAATTCAGTTGCAACATAAAGTATGACGCAAGCATATTTAAGAAGGTCTTTAGCCTGTAAGTGAGCCCGTTGGGTTGTGCCATGTTTTCAGTGATTTTCCCCTCTGACTGTGATGTTTTATGCCACATCTGGTCAGATTCTGGATCAGCAAACAATAAAAGGGGAAAAACACTCTATTAAAAGCTTTCTAAAGTCTGTGTCAATAAAATATGGCTGCTCAGGCAAGGAGGACTTGTTCAAATAAAATGTCTTCAGAGGTGCTAAAAACAGTGTAGTGTGTGGGCCTGCCTGACTTCCAGAGGCCAGGAGTGCTACAGACAGGAATCAGCCACATGGAAGGCTCTTCTCAGGGTAAATGGTAAACTGGCCATGGATCCCTGAAGGACCACCAGGAGCGTCCCATCAGCTGAACTCCGTGAATGGGCACTCTCCTAAGGAAGAAAGCCACCTTTCAAGCATTGAGGTTCCAGTTTCAAAGTGTGTGGCAGCCAGGCTACTGATGTACACAACAAAGGCATGGTTAGCCTTTTAAGCTGCGGAAGAACGGACATTATTCCAAACATCCCAGAGCACCTCATCAATACTGTAAATTTAGATTCCCCCACCCCATCTAAACATCTGTGCCAGATCTTTGAAAAGATTTTGCCATCCTGATAAGCCTCCTCTCTCATAGGGAGAAAATAAATTATTTTCATTTCTATACTGCCCAATAGCTGAAGCTCTCCAGGTGGTTTACAACTGGCCATTAAAAATACAATACAATACAATACAATACAATGAATTCTTACCAAAATAGAAACATCACCAAAGAAAAATTGGCGATATTTGAATTGGTGCTAGTTTCTACCTTGAAATTATTTTTATCTTTTACTGAACTTATAGTGAGGGAAGGAAAGGATGGTTACTATAAAAAAATGTGTATGAGATACTGATACAACTTTATTATAATATACAAGCCAGTGTAGTTTAGTGGTTAAGAGCATGGGACTGGGACTCAGGCATTTTGAATCCTGTTGTGGGGAAGGAGTTTCTGGAAGAGTGGCTAGTGGACAAAGAGTTAAGTATCTTTGTGACAAAGAAGGAGGTTATCAAGCTATGATTAATATATGTGGCTGCAGTTTGGCCTTGAATGTGTGAATGGAAATCCATTATGTTTTAAAGCAGGGGTCTCAAACTCGCAGCCCACGGGCCAATTGCCGGGATGGGTGGGGCATGGGGGAGGGGCCCTGCGGCCTTCAAAGAACCGGCGGCGCCCGGGCCGGCCTCCGGGAGCCACGCGGGACGAGCGGCCCACCACCCCCACGGTGGTGCAATACTTGATGCAGCCCAGCCTCACCCAGACTCTACTTCCAGCGGCCCCCAGGTAAGTTGAGTTTGAGACCCCTGTTTTAAAGGGATATTGAAGCTCTAGCATGAGTCAGTTGGACATAAGTTACCTATATTTCCTCATAAAATGCTCTCTTATATTCTTATAAATGGTGTTGTTTCAGTATTTTGTTTCTTGGATTTCAGTGTTTCTTGGATTTCAAAGTTTCTTGGATTTCTGGCCAGGGTGGCTTATTTTATATTGTATTTTTGTATTTTTAATTTAATGTTTATATTTTTTGTAATTTCATATTATAATTATTTTTAATTTATTGTTGTAAGCCGCCCCGAGGCTTCGGCGAATGGGGCGGCATAAAAATGTTTTAATAAATAAATAAAATGTGGATTCTTTTGCTTACCTCCTCAGGGAATCAATTAAATGAAAGAATAGCATATCATCGACTAGCTGTTATCTACCACCATCTAGGGCAGTGTGAACTTACTGAACACTTTTTCTTAAAGGCCTTGTCCCTCTGTCCCTCACCCCTTGAGTTTGATGAGGAAGCCCTATACTATGTAAGAGTATACCTTGTTCTTGGAGACATCACTTTCTATGATCTAAAGGTAAGACAGTTGGATGGAATTGATATCTAAATATGGGTTATATTTTAGTTTCATCTGAGAAAATGGATACAAACTTAGAACAGAAATAACCATTTTGCACAAGTAAGTGGATTGGTTCCCAGTATCCAAAGTTAGAAGTGGCTTCCAAGGAGCTGTCTTAAGAATGAGTTGGGAGGATGCATAAAATGTCATTCATTATCTAGGCAAGAGTGAAGAGCCAAAAGCCTTCCAGATGATGTTGCACTGCAACTTCCTCCATCTCCAACTTTTTGTGTTATTGGCTGGGGCTGATGAGAGCTGGAGTTCAACAACATTTAGAGGCCACAAATTCTCCATCCATGATTTACAGGATCAGTTGGGTGAACATTTTTTACAGTCCTTTCCCCAGTGACTGCTATCTGTGTTTCACCCACAACCCTCTTTGTTCCTTTCAGGAACTTGTTGATTGAGACATATGAGAAAGCTATTTGCATAAAAGTGGGGAAGGCTTACACTCCACAGATCCCCTGTATTAAGTTCAAATCTTTAGAATAGCTCTTTAAAAGAGAGTGATGTTATAAGATGTGGGGATTCCATATTTTATTTAACTTTTTGTTTTTGTGACTGCTGTGGCTTGGCATACAAGGAATCTTGTGCACTAGACTGAGGAATAAAGCAGGGAATAGAGAAGGAAAGGTGTGGTGAGACGGGCTTGGTTTTACACACTTGGTCATTATTTGTTTAAGATAAAAGGAAGGGTTTCTTAAGTGGCATTTAAAAAGATGTTTTGTACCTTTATGGAGCATTCCAAGTGCATGGATGTTTGGCCAACATTGCAGCAGTATAGAAAGAAGTGCTTTTCACTATGCTGATAGAGATTTCAGCATAAAGTTTTAAGCATCTGTAAATGGTCCCCCTGCCCCCCCCCACCTTGTCTTGACAGTATGCCTTCTGTTTTCTTTTAAAATTTCAGGGCAAGATTAAGTGAAAAGAGTGGTAACAACAGTAGTAAGGAGCCGAGGAATTTTGAAGGCTACACTCTTTCAGAATGTTAGAACTGCAGAGTTCCTTGTTTGCATACAAATGGTTTTTTGCTTCACCTTTCTATAGTGCAAATTACAATCATTCTTAATTATGTACTATCCAAATAAAATCATATTAAATTTAACAGTGGATCATGTTTTGCTTTGTTTCAGGATCCCTTTGATGCTGCTGGCTACTATAATTTGGCTCTTGCAGCTGCCATGGGCTTGAGCAACAAAAAGGCTCAACTGAAGATTTACACAAGGCTCGCAATAATCTACCACAACTTCCTTGTGGATCGAGAGATGTCCCTCTTCTTCTATCAAAAGGCAAGAGCCTTTGCAACTGAACTTAATATTCGTAGAATAAATCTGTCACCTGATCAATCTACGAGGGCAGCCTGGGCACCTGTGAAAAAGATCATGTGATAATCGCATCAGTGCTTGTTTTTCTATATTGCAACAAGTCCTTTGTATATTGCATGAAATGGTATATGACTGACATGGCACCTGCATGTTCTCCTGCTCTTAAATAACACAAATCCACTTATATGTCCAAATATGTAGCCACATAAGCGCAAGTAAAACAGGGACAAAAATTTATTAGAAGGTGATGGTAACAGTCAGTCTTCTTCTTACAAGTATGGAACTGTTTAACTGCTGAAAACAGGAATCTTAAATATGATTAAAATCAGGGATTAACCAGAATGATACACAGTCATGATTACATCTAAAATTGTCTCACACCAGTTCTAATTAGTATGAATGTGCTATGACTTGTTTGGGAGTATGTGACTGATAGAGCCAAAGAAACCAAAGTTAGCATCTAATACAAGCATCCTTGCCTCAATTTCATGTGCCAAATTTAATTGCATTTTAAACTATGTTTAAAAGTGAATCCAGTCTCCAGAAAGGTCAAAGGAACATGAGGCATGTGCATATAGCTGAATGTAGAATTTGGCCTTGAAGTAGGTCTGAGAATACAGATTAGTAGACTGACATTTGCTGCCATCTGAGAGTTACGTGGTTTTTTGAGTTGGGAATCCAAATCTGTCTCACCCCCATCTGTAACCAGTAATAGTGCTGGGGACAAAAAGAGAAGTGTTTGTTGCGAGAGAGACCAGCAAAACCAGCAAGTAATTTTATTTAAAAAGGGCTCTATTGTAGAGAGTGAAGCAATAGAGAGTGAACCCACCTCCAGCCAAGACCAGGTGCACAGGCATCCTACAGAGTGAATTTATACATTAGCATTATGCAGTGATTAGTAACAGAAAATGTCATAGTCAAAACATTCCATTACTTTTCTACATGGTTACTTTTGTACATGGTCATCATGAAGTACAAGTCTTTTGAGGACATTTGGTGTTGAAACATTTACCTCCAGACTTATCTATAAATATTCTGACTTGGAGAGAGGTTTATTTTATATTTTCAACCTTTTGTGTCTTCCTGGTATAACACTACGTAACTGACCCTTGCTCTGTATGGTCAATAGTATCTGACCATTTTATTTTCCTCGATAGTAACTGTGATTCTATTACAGGGGTGCTGTAAGGGACATTCCCTCTCAACAACCCACACAGGCTGCAATATGGATATAGCAGGGAACTGCTCTCACACTTGTCTGTTTGTGGCAAACTATTTTCTCCATTCCATGTCCCCTTTCAGAAAGCAGTATGGAAAAAATGTACAGCATTCACTTGGGAAATAGTATCATAAGCACATTTGAAAAAGTGAGAGTTATGCCTGAAACTACAGAGCTGCTAGTGGACAGGGAAGTTTCCTGTGTCTCGGTATATATGCCCCTTTCCTTTGGGATTAAATCTTTTCCCAAACTAAAAGTTAAGATGTTTTATCCGACCAACCTCTCTTTTCCCTTATCTCTTTGTCTCAAAGGGAAATAATGCTTACCCATTTGACAAGGCTGTTGTAACACTCACTGAGACAATGCGTGAGAGGTGCGTGGGGCATTCAAAAAGTGCTGTGCAGATACCCTGTGTAGTACTAATCCTCCCAGACCAAATGGTGCAGAGACAAGAGATGGTTGATGATAAGTCATTTATGGGAAGTTTCAAGAGTTTGGACTTAAAAAAATATAAATTCAGGAGTATGTAAACAGAATAAAAAAAGAAAAAAAATGTATTTCTTAATATAATGAGTTGCCAAAGGCTCTAATAACCACTAATTGACAGGAAAACTGTTTCCAATAAATTAAAGAGATTACACCTTTGTTATATATATGATTAGTATATAACCATGACAGTGTCTCTAGCTAGACAAGTACGGGGAGAATTGACTTACTTACGCTGTCCAGAAGCATACTCCACACCTTTTCCTCTTGGTGCTGTGTGAATCATAATACTGGATTATATTGTAGGATTAGCAGTAGTCACCTTTTACCTCATTGCTATCCCACCTACAATTTAGGGATAATTTGGGGCAGTTTAATCCTGCCCTCCTAGTGCATTTTTAGGATTAAGACTTAATTTCCCCAGGTGCTTATGTAATACAAGAATACCACAGTATGAAAAAACATGTATTCTGCTTTCACATTCTGAAGGGAAAGAATGGGGAGAAGCTTGCTGTCAGGTAAACGGCAATCACATTCTTGGTTTCTTCAGTGCCTTCTATCAGCAGCTGACACGGTTGCTGCTCTAAAGAGAAATTGTAGCTAAAATGTGATCATTGTTCCTCCGATGGCACCTGCAGTTGCCCATGGAGCCAGAGCAGCACGTCAGCAACTTCCTAGGCTAACATAAAGTAGGTTTTTGTTTTTCTGAGTGAATTTGCTAAAACTTTGTTAGAAACACAGTTGCTGTGGATCCTTTCTTGTTTTTCATCTATGAAAATTGCAGCAGATGGTAATGGAGTCATTTGAAATGCCTGTCCTTTGTTAAGCAAAATGAGTACTTCTCCTTTCTTATTGCAATCACAATATACACAGTGGCTTATAAGATCAGTTAAAATTCCAGTGGTAAAAAACTACTGACACATGAGCAGCAAGTGGGGGTGGGGGGAGGGACTTTCACACAGATTGAAGAGAGCCAGTAGTGCAGTGGTTAAGAGCATGGGACTGGGACTCAGGCGATCTGGGTTTTAGTCCCCACTCAGCCATGGAGCCCACTGGGTGACTTTGGGCCAGTCACAGACTCTCAGCCCAGGTTGGTTGTTGTGAGGATAAGATTGGAATCAGAAATTCAAGTCTCTCTGAGTACTTTAAAAAAGAAAAAAATGGGATATAAATCTAACAAATAAGAGTGTTGTCTGGGATTCAGGGTGTGAGGATGACAGAGGTAGAATCTCCAGCTTCCTCAGAACTCTCCATCCTGAGGTGGGAACCTTGCTTCAAGTCTCTTGGGATGCTTCCAGATGCATTCATTGTGTAATTGCCCTGCTTCAAACAGACTTTTGCAGCCAATGTCACCTTCTGCTTGTAACCTTCCCATGTTTCTCCATCCTTGTTTCTTTTTTCTTTTACTACAGGAAATCCATGAATAAGTGAAAGCTAAAATTGCTGCACAGCACCTTTTGGCTAGTAGTGCTAAGGACTGTGGGCATGGAAATGCCACTGGGTTCCTGTTCATCCCATCCTTCACTACTGTTGCTACCACTACAAAATGTCAGATGAGTTGAGCGGTGCTTCCTCCAAGGGCAGCAAAGAGATTCTGACCTTTAACACTGCTAGTCAAAAGGCATTGTTTAGTATCCCAATTCTTCCTCAACAGGTTTTTGTATTTTCATATTAGTGCAAGGGTCTCCAAACTTTTGGTGTCAGTGGGCACATTCGGAATTTGAATCTAGGGTCTCCATGGGCTTTGCTGTTCGAGCGTATCATTTTTTGTCTGCCCTGAATTTTCTGGTACTGGTGGGTATCTTGGAATGTAATCAATGAGTTGTTAGTGGAAGCTTTTTCTTAAGCATCTTGTCCATTCACTTAAGCAGGTGAGTATGAGATTCCAGTAACTGGCTGCTGTACTATAACAGACCTACTTAAGCATCATCCACCTTCTTCAATCATTCATTGAATTAGATTGCTCTTTCAATGATACTATTTTATTGTGGGTAACTGGACGTACTAAAACATTGTTCAAGTTCCCAATCACAAGTCAAAAGTGTAAGATCTTGGCTAGCAAGGCTGTTGTATTGCTCACAACTATCCTCAGAATTGCATAAGGAGCAACAATAGATTTAAGTTTAATAGTCACAAATCTTGCAGTCTTGTCAGACAGTCTAAGCAACTCTGAATATTTTGAAAACTAACAAGCCACAAAAAGATAGGGGGAAGAACCACACCCCAAAATATCTGTACCCCATTTATCCTGTGGTAAGTCAGGACATTCGTGTGGTTTAAGAGGCCCCTTTTGAGTCCTCATAACAAATTAAGCACAAACAGCAATTAGAATCATAGAATAGTAGAGTTGGAAGGGGCCATGAAGGCCATCAGGTGCAACCTCCTGCTGCAGGACACCAATTTACACCATCCCGCTCAGATGGCTGACCAATTTCGCCTTGAATGTCCCTAGTGTGGGAGAGCCCATAACCTCACTAGGCAGCTGGTTCCACTGTCATATTGCTCGCACAAAGAGGAAACTTTTCCTGATATTTAGTCTGAATCTGGATTGTTGCAATTTGAATTGATTATTCCATGTCCTACACTCTGGAATCAGCGAGAAGAGGACTTGACCTTCCTTTTTGTGACAGCCTTTGAGGTAATTAAAGAGGGATATCATGTCTTCTCTTCTCAAGACTGAACATGCCCAGTTTTCTCAGTCTCTCCTTGTAGGGCAGTGTTTCCAAACCATGGATCATTTTTGTTGCCCTCCTCTTTCTAATTTTCCTGCATCTTTCTTAAATGTTGGTGCCCAGAACTGGACACAGTATTCCAGATGAGGTCTGACAAGTGAGGAGTAAAGGGGAATACTACTTCTCGTGATTTGGAAGTAATACTTCTATTAATACATCCCAAAATAGCATTTGCCCCTTTTGAGGCTGCATTGCAATGTTAGCTCATATTTAGCCTGTTGTCCACAGTAACTCTGAGATCTTTTTCAGTTCTGTTGAGCCTCATATTCCCCATCAATGCATTTGGTTTCTTTTTCCTAGCTGAAGTACTTGTCCTTTGTCCCTGTTGAATCTCATTCTATTGGTTTCAGCCCAGTGTTCAAGTTTATGAAGATCGGCCTGGATCTTCATTCTGTCTTCTAGAGTATTTGCTATTCCACCCAGTTTTGTATTATCTGCGAATTTGATTATCTTTCCTTGTACTTCCTCATCTAAATCATTAATAAAAATGTTGGAGAGCACTGGGCCTAGGGCTGAAGCCTGCGACACTCCACTAGTTACCTCCATCCAGTTTGACAAGGTGCCACTGATGAGCACTCTTCGTGTCCAATTTAGCAGCCAATAGTTTTTCTATCTAGTCCACTTTTTGCTAATTCACTTATCAGAATGTTGTGGGGCACTATGTCAAAAGCTTTGCTAAAGTTTAGGTATCTGACCATACCTACAGTTGAGTTGCAACTTCTCAGGACCAGAAACTTAGACTGGAATTCCCACAGGATCCTTGACACTTGTATGTGCTGCATGGAGTGTCTTACAATGCTTTGAGGGAGCTGCCCATAGACCATGGGTGACAGCTCCTGTTGTTTCAGCTACACAGTTACTTTCTCCAGAGAAAGATCAAGATCCATCAGAAGTCTTTCTTTTTCTTACACTTCCTTCACACTGAATACAATCTAATCCCTTAGCAGATAAGGAATTATTCACTAGAGAACCCAATTTACAGCAACTAGCTTTCAGTTTAAACCCAGTGACAAACTGTTCAGTGTCATCTCCACATATCTGTGAACAATTTCAAATGAAGCAGTGGTCCTACAATGAATTTAGCAATATCTCTTATTCCTTCATCAGGAGAAGCAAAAATATTACAAACCATCACACAATATAGTAGAATTGCTATCTGACTCTTTCTTAAGAGACATTATTAGCTCCAGCTACAGTGAGATATAATT